CAGCAACCTCTTAGTGTTTCTCTTTTCCAATTTTTGCCTTATATAGCCACGTCATGATGTTATTTAGCCAAGCAAGCGCGTTAAAAAAAAATGTGCTTACAGCTGGTGTTCGTCGACAAATGGAAGAAAAACAATTCTTCAATTAATTTTCTGGAAGCTTATGTTATTTTCAATTCAAGCCGAAAAAAAAGAAAAAAAAAAGTGAGATATGAGGACGCCATCGTTCGTCCTGGAGTTTGAACGACGCCATAATACTGCATAGACAGAACAGCAGGGACTGAAACGTTTCCCCTTTGTGTAAATGGCCGTGTATTTATGACAAAGAAAACAAAATAGGATAAAACAGCGTGTATTATGTCTTCAACTTTGTGTGGGAAGCTGCAATTGCTTTTTCTCAAGCTAAAATTGGTGGAACATGCTGATAAACTTTAAAATTGTCACCACCACAAATTGAACAATATACTGGCAAGAATTGTTTGCTTTGTTATAGTGTCATTAGTATGAAGGCCTGACTTCACGCATATTCCACCCAACGCTGTAAGGGGTTAGTCACGCAAAATAAGAAAAGAAGTGCGTAGACAAATTGCTGAAAGTAAAAGTTTTGAATGAGAACAAAGGGAAATTCTTAAAAAAAAAAAAACACTGAAGAACTCTTAAGAAACACTGAAAAGCGAACATGACTCAACAAAATTGGGAGGAGAGTGCTATTCAAACGGATTGTAATTGCTCTCTGATAAAACCTGAAAAACGTCACCACATATTTTGAACGACGCCATAATGCACTATAGACTTACTGAGTAGGAAATAAAATGTGGGCATGACTATCCCATAACTAATTGGTTGTGAATTCATTTGAAAGAGAAGCCAAAAAAAGTGAAATGAAAAACGTGGCTTGTATATTCAACTTGCTGAGTGTGTGCGTCCTTCACAAACGAAGATAACCACAGACATCCTTGTTTGTGTTTCTTTGCGTGGCTGATCAAGCCAATCTGTGAACTTTTTAGGAGAAAAACTAGGTTTCTCTAACAGTTCTCTCTATTTCTGGGGTCTACCTCATATCTAAGGGGAAGATATTTATCATCGGCTCATCAAGGTGATAATCATCAGGCTTTCAATCTTTCGCCATCGTCACCATATCACACTTAACTAACGAATCACGTCAAGCGAAAAGAAAAAAGATCCCATAAACTATGCACCTTCGAGATGTTGGCTCTTTACAATTGACCTCCTTACTTAAATTTCATACTTTTTCAGTTAAGATCGGGCAAAACCAAAACAAAATTAGCAGAATGAAAATTTTGGTAAACTTTCTGACGAAATTAGAATTACACTCAAAAAATAGATCAATTGAGAAGAACGCCTTAAAAGACTGTTACATAATATTAAAACATACAGAGAGTTTGGAGAAGAAAGATCGTGCCCGAGGTCCCGCCCCTAAAAAGAACTTCGTGCTGTTTGTACAATTCCCATCAAGTCATATATTCAGTGCGGAGGATGAAAAATAAATTAAAGTTGTTTACACTTATAGTGACCTTGAAAGAAAGGAGTGTTGAACTTGCTAATTAACAAAAAATTAATAGTTATCCTCCTGATCGAGAATTCGACTTGGAATAAACCTAAAAACGATCACCATAAAAACTGAACGTCTGTTTTTATGGCGAAATTCATGATAGCAGAGAATGGAATTTAACCAAAATAAGTAGCAGCTTAATACTTATATTTTTAGAGAGTTAAAGAAACTATTTTCTCACAGTAAGAAAAAAATAACAATTAACGACTTTAATTGTGAAGTAAGACTGCTAAGGAAATAGGAGATGACCAATTAGCTCATTATTTTTTTTGCTGAATGGTTCATGATAATATATTACTTCCATTCATTTTCCCAACACGTAAGCAGGTTAAAATACGCACGTCAAACGCAAACGCTACATGCCAATTTTTGTCTTTTAACACATGGAATGAGGAGACCAGGCTAAATATGACAGAAGATCTTCCCTTCTTTTTCACTTTTCTTCTTCTTTAACGGCACGTCTAACCGTGTATAAACAGCCCAAAGGCAGGCCTGTCTAGTTCGCACCCATGTCGCTACAACTAGAAAATATAACTTGGCCGCGCGTGGATACAGTACCTCCCACGGGTAAGCAAAGCAAACGGGCAAGATGATATCAACGTATCCTCAAGCGGAAATTTTATGTTCTGTTTATTGTATGGATTTTAATGACATATTTTAATCGACAATAATTCAAAAACAAATTTAAAGAGCAGCAGTTGCAGTTATCACCTACAAGATTTACTCAGCCGCAGAAAAGCTTTTTTAACGTACGACATAGAATGAAACAGGGTCTTTTTTACAAAATTTAATCATAACAATAATAATAACTCTTAAGAGAATCGTACTTTTCTTAGTAACGCCTGCAAATCGCAAAAATAAAAAAAATAAAATAAAAACAAGATTAAAAAAAACACTTCACAAAATGTAAACCGCCATTTTCATAAACTCGGTTGGTATTTAACAAATCAACAGTTGTATTTGTCCACTGTTGATTTGTTTTTATCCTAATTTCGACGTCAAATAAGACGATTCTTTTAATGCTTGACCATTACGTGACACGTTGACGCAAGCAGCGTAGTCACGGCATTCTTGTCGACAGCGAAAATTTCGGCATTACTGCCAATCTATTGTAGTAAAAAACGACATCGTCGTGTTGAAAAATAGATGGTACATTCACTCCGCGTGCTGAAGATTTCAGCTTTACTGTTATTCATCAGCTATGGGCAAAATTACTCCTAGCTGGCGCCACTGTTGGCATACCCATGAGTAGTACTGAGTAGCCTAAATTACAAGCGTCCTGTTGGGGCGAGTTAATGTTACAAGCTCACGATCGTCAATTCGCCATGTTTGATTTAGAATTAGGGTGTAGACGGTGGGGGAAGGGACGGGAAGCCGAGAACAATGCAAGTCATACTTAATGCATGCACCAATGATAGAGCGCCAAAATGTATTGATAGCTGCTAATCAACGGGTTATGAGTAATCAACTGACTCAATCGCCAATCAAGTATGAGTCGGTCCACTTGACATGAGTAACTGTATGGCGGAAGGTCATCATCAAGGTCACTGAAGGTCATTAAGACAAACATCCCCGAATTTTGCCTCCAGTAAAAACTTAAGAAGTTCCTGATTTTTGTCAAATTCTCCTCGTCAGTGCCGCAGGAAATGTAAAGAGAACAGTAAGGAGAATATGAACACTAATCTTAGGGTGTGGAGGGTTGTTAATTTGGGTTCCGCTTTGAGTGGCAAAAGAGGCTTAGGTTTACATTTGATAGATACTTAAGATTCTAGAATTTTCATCGGCAGGTGTGAGGCCATGCCAGGGAAAAATTGCTCTTTCGGACGCAGTGATGATAGAAAGTAAGATAATCATGCTGCGGAGAAAAATAAAACAACAGCTCTTTTTCATAAACAAAAGGCCACCTGTATATTCAAACAGAGTTAAACAATTGTTCTTTGGCAAAACAAACTCTTAAGCATATTTATATCAACTTACCATTTTATTTCAGCGTTGGTTTATTGTGAATTGGCAATGACTTCCTTAAACACAGTCTAAAAGGCTTTTTTCAAAGTACGTAATGATACTTCATATGATTTATCTTTTTTTCTTTTTTTGGACCAAATAACACAGGGTAAAGTATGCATCCAGAAAGAATATCTGAGTAAAAATGTTCTTATCATTCGATTATCCTCATCGTTTTAATTTTTTTACTGATGGCGATATTTTTGGACTCCTAACCGGTAAGAAATATAAGCCTGTAGCAAAAGAAAAAAAAAGAACCGAGAATAAACTACGTCTCTGCAACTGTTAAAAAAGTAGTGCGTTCGATCAACACAACAAAACTGAATTCATAAGGAAAGGATTCATCTCTGTCTCTTCGGGAAAAGTGATATTTCATCTAACGCCGTCGTGGAACTAAATCACTGCGTGGAAGAGGACATAAGTGAGAGAGACGGGATAGACTTAGTAGACACGACATCTGCAGACACAAAAAAACTGAGACAATTGCAAACGAATTCATATGATATCCTGTGATGTTGTCAAATTGAGCTTGTGTATAAAATATCTTTTTCGTTTTCACGTCAATACGTCATATCCACGATACTTTTTTTCCCCTATGATTATGCCATTTTCTGTTAGAAATGAAAATAACGAAAAAATTGATATTTAAAAAAATTGATATTTATGATAAATATATCCATATTTATCAATATGGCCTCTTGGTATGTTTTGATATGTGTAAATATATATATATATATATATATATATATATATATGTATATGTACATAAGTTAAAGAATTAAAGAGGACGCATCGATTCTCTGTGACTCTGAGTTTTTCTCAGAGTCACAGAGAATCGATGCGTCCTCTTTAATTCTTTAACTTATGTACATATACATATATATGCATTGAGCACTTTATGCCAAGGTAGATTCTACCCCCACATTCATTTACATATGTATATATATGAATAACATAATATTTGTCAATATAAGTAAAATAAATACAGCTGAATGATTCGCTAAACTGATAGAAAACTTAGGGAAAACTTTTATTCGACTGGAAGTCGAGAGGACCGCTCACAGCCAGGGCGACACTTAAAACCTGCTAGACACTGGCGCCGATTATACGCCAGGCTCATCGCTTTCGGCACAGCATTCAATGCGCGGTGAGTCATTAGCCATTCAATAGTGGGCCATCCAATTTAACGTAAATCATTTCATTTGGAGAGTAGCCTGCAGTGCAGGCGTCTTATTAGTGAGAGCTAACGTTATAAGCTCGCGATCGTTTATCCGACCATCCATGTTTGATTTGCTGTTAGAGTGGACCGTAGGGGGGTGGGGGGGGGGCAGGGCGAAATCTTCACTCCCCCACTCCCATCCCTCTCTTTATTTGTTTCTCTCCCCAGCCTTCCGCTGCCGTTAAAATTAAGATGGCGGCCACAATTTGCGTCATGAAATTACTGAGCACTCGCTCGCCAAAATTACGTCTGCTCTGCAGGCTATTTGCAGAGCCATTCATTAGTGAACCATTCGATTTGGTGAGCCATTCAATATTGCGACATTCACATTTGCTATTATTAATTTTGAACCGATCCACTCGCCATAAACTTCTTGGCTGTTGCTAATCAGCAGGTACTTTCTTGACTGTTCACCAGTCTTCTCATGTTCCGACGCCTGAAACTATTGATATGTTTGCGTTGTTTTTATAGGTATGAGGCAGCATGAAACCGCGTGGGTCTTTTCGACTGTTTGTGCTCTGTTTCCTCATCAGGGTAACCTTGTCACAAGTAGGAATCGATCGAAATGATCTAGGAGACCTGTACAAAGCTTTAACGAATGCTTTGTCCTTCTGCAACAATGAATACAACAATTTGGATTCGAACGCCTTACTTGGGCTCCGTGTGGCACAAGGTAGAGATCATATAATTTATGATACTGGTTTTGATTAATTTCGTGTTGAAATTATTGCAAGGAATGAACATTTTCTTTATTTTTGACCCATAATTTCCTGTCTGTAACTTTCTGACGGATTCGGTTCTAATAGCATTATTTGTTCATAGTTAATAGAATTTAACCCTAAGAGGGGAGGTAATTCCTGTCGATAGGCTAATTAGGATGTGCCACTGGATGGGGTTACATTTCCATGTCTGGATTGACTATAATGGGCGTGCATTTTCAATAATAGGAGTTGCCATAATTGGGTAATTTGAAATTATAGACTGAATTGATAAGGTAAATTGGCTACGGTAAAGAGTTTAAAAGCTGATGTCGAGCGTTAGCCCTTCATTAGAGCCCAAAGGGCTCAGCTTTTAAACTCTTTATGGAGGCTAGTTTACAGCATCAACTCAGTGGATATTAATAAATTATCCTGTTATACTCTCCCACCACAGTTTCAGCTCCACAGTTTCTTTTTGACCCCCTTTACCACAATAGGGCTGCACTAGTTAACCCTTTACACCCTAAGATCAGTATGTATGTTCTCTATACTGTTTTCTATAAATTTCCTAAAGTGCTGACAAGGTGATTTTACTTAACAATCAAGGGCTTGTTGATCATTTCCCTTATTCTTGTGATCTTAATGATTGATTCAGTGATGATACTGTGAGGAGAAATTAGATGCTCATCATATACATAAACATACTTACGTAATACGTAAACAGGATTAGGGTAAGGATTATGATTAGCCACAAAATTAACCACAATGGAGAAGGGGTTGTGAGAGGCCAATGGCACATAGCCAGCAAAAATTGACTCAAGTTAACTCTCCCTCCCCTCCTTGGTGAGAACGAAGGTATATCTTTCACCCTTGCTATGTTTTATCTTTGAAATCCTGCAAAATTTGCTTTTCGAACTCCATCTGAAGATCTGTTCTTTACTGCTGTTACTTTTGCTAGATAACTTTGTTTAAGGTGTGAACTAGGTTAGTCACTAAATAATCTCGATTGGCCAATCGAATTAAATTTGATCAGCTTGACTCTAATTCCCACTGAAATAACACAGTGCTTTACAGATTTATCTCTGTGATGTGCAAATTATGATTGTTCTAGCATAAAACATCTGTTTTTTCAAGTTATTGTAGTTGTTGTTGTTTTTTGTAACTAAATTAATCTTGAGTTTGTAATTAAGCCTAGTGAAGAGCTTGTCTGATGGCTGAGGTACCTTCACCAGTATTTTAACCCTTAAACTTCCATTAGAACTGATTGTTAAAAGAAATTCTCCTCTCTAGCTACCACATGTTTCCTTGTAAATAAGTTGCAAGAATTTTGTATTTGATAAATATAACAACTTCTGTATAAGTTTGAGTATTCTCATCACCTGTTTGCTGGATTATGCATGGATAATATAGGGAGAAGTTACATGTCTATCACCTCTGGGTTTTAAAGGTAATTAGTCCACTAAAGGACACCAAGAGGACTTTAGGTCAGCTATTTCCAGCCATAAGCAAATGTTTTGAATAGTTTTCAATCATTTGACTTTAGAGTTTGGAATCCTCTTATGTGGGAACAAGTGTCATCAGAACTAGTTTCCCTGGACTCCTGAACAAGCCTGAATTGTTTATGGCCTTGTTTCCTCTCCTGCTTTAATTATTTAACTCCAAGTCTGAATTTCTCCTTACAATATCAATGCAATATTAACCTGATAAGTGATTATGGTCAGGAAAAGAAAAATATCAATTTGGGGATAATTAGTTGATCCAATACCAAATTCTCTGAACTAACATAAGAATTGTATGGTTGACAGTAAGGAGAATTAAAGATTTGATCTGGGAGTTAAAGGGTTAATAGTGTTCATTACTGTAAAGATCACTCTCATATTCTTTTTCTAATCCACAGTTCAAACATATGATCTTTATGTATGCACAGCCATCTATTCATTACTTTGCGGGTTTATTACAAATTAACAAAATGACCAACTTCCAGTTGGCTTATTGGCTCAGTTGGCAGAGCATTGCATTAGTATTGTAAGGGTAATGGGCTCAAATCCCATACAGGCCTGAATTTATTTAAAGCTTTATTTTCACTACTGCCTCAGTAGTGTCTACATTTTCAGTTAAAATTGTCTTACTTATCGTTGAATCTTAAAAAGTGTCTTATCTCCCTTGCAGGCTTTAGCAAGTACTGATTCCCATCAATAACAAAGTTATCCATTTTTCCTGAGTAGTTAATTTGAAATTTAAGATTCCTTTTACTGTATTGATACATTTTCAGTCTGATTATGGGTAATTTCACTGTTTACTCTCAGTGCTTGTTTTTTGTTTTTTTTTTCCTTTTGTGATGTTAACAAATGTTTTCCAAAATATGTTTTGTTTGACTTTTATCTTTCATTTTTTCACATCCAAGGTTACATCCACAGAATTTTAGCAGATACTGAAAATGGCGAAATTAAACTCGACCAAGATGTTTATAGCAGCATGATAAACCTGCAAAACAGGACGACTGAAGTTGTAGAACGCATGCTTCCTTTTCTCTGGAAACAGGATCCTTTGTTTTATCCAGTGCTGAATTCTTCATGGACTTACTTCAAACCTTACAAATTTCTGGAACCACAGGATGTTGTTGAGAGACAAAAGATCAAACCTGGCGATGAAGAAAAATATTCCAACTGTGTCGGGGAAATTGTAGGGAGTAAGGAGAGCTCTATGGAGCCCTGCACCATATCTGATGATTGTTGGGGAATTATGAAGTCAAAGGGTGCTCCTAATGAAGTGCTCTACTATCAAGCTTTGTTCTTCCTCTTAGGGGAAGCTTCAGGTACATACATAATTTATGTTTTCTTTCATAGCACCCTCCGAACGTAACCCTTTACACCCTAGTATCAGTATGGGTTTCTCCATATTGTTTTGTATACATTTCCTAAGGTGCTGACGAGAAGAATTTGTGTAATTAATGATCAAGAGCTTCTTTAGTTAGAGATCATTTCCTTATTCTTGTGACCTTCATGTTAGATTCAAGGGTGATATCATACAGAGAAAGTAGATGCTTGTCATTTGTAGGCTGTGAAATGGTTTAATCCCTGGAATGCTCAGTAATTATTACTTTTTCTTTTAAAAAATATCACAGACTACTTAATATGTTGTTATCATGGTCACTTCCATAGAATCAACCAATTTTTTTCATAAGAAATGAACAATGATTTCAAGAAGGTTCAATTACATCACCACATGTATATAACTTGTCAATGTGTGTATACAACCTGCTTTTGTGGTTGAATACATTGACTGTGTTTCTGAGCTGCTTAGCTGTATCTCAAAAAGGAATGTTAATGCTGGCAATTTAAGTTCTAACAATTTTTATCATCATTATAATCATTAATAGTATTCCTATGATATTTTTTTTGTTGTTGTTGATATGTTTATTTATTTTACCTCAGTTAGTACATGCTTTCTGATTGGTCAATTTAACAGGCTGTATTTCACTGCACAGTCTGCTAAATTATAAAGTTTATTTGAATCAAAGTTATCCACCTCTACACCTTGTGTTTGAACCCAGAGGTATGATAGCTATCTTACTAACCTTATTTTTCCACTCAAATTTATGGTATTCTGGGCAGAAAACTAAGCAGATAAAACTTAGTCCATAAGTTATAGTGCAGACCTTGAACTCAGTTCAGTTAGAGTTATTTAATATTTTCTTTCTATTTCTTTACATTGGTGGCAAACAAGGCTGTCATCACAAGCTGTTATCAAGAATAAAATCCTCTGGTGATAACCTAGAGAACCACCTGCAGCACATCTGCACCTTGGCTTATTTCACTAATTCACGGACTCTGTTTTATGGTGAAGATGGTGATTCAGTGGATCTCATGTTAACATTGAAGTTGAGCTTTAGTTGTGGATTGTTGGGTTACTATGAACTTCTCACAGGGGAGGGATTAGCAAATGTTATAGGCTGGCAGCTGAATAGTGGATGTTTTGGAGATAACAGCATAATAGATGAAGAAAAAACGAGGTGTGTAAGTTACAATAAATCTGCCTCAAACTTTCCTTAGACTCAATTAAAAAACACATACCTTACTCCTCTTAAAGAAGAAGTTATTCTTTCCAAACTACGTTTATTTACACCTTTGCATAGCTTTATAATTACATTTAGTAGTTACATTTAGTGGTTTGATTAATGCATTAACCCTTTAACTCCCAAGATCTGATTGTCAATTCTCCCCTCTATCTGCTAAACATTTCCTTGTAAACAAGTTACAAGAGTTTGGTGTCAGATCGAGATAACAACGTAAATCTGATAAGTTTGAATATTCTCATGACCTTTTTGTTGGATAATGTTTAGATACCATAGGGAGAAATTACTTGTTAATCACTTCTGGGTTAACATGTATGTTCTCCATACCACTCTCTATACATTTCACAAGTGCTGACAAGGAGAATTTGTTTAACAATCAAGAGCTTCTTTAGTTAGAGATCATTTTCTTTATTTGTGTGACCTTAATGTGTGATTAACAGTTGATGCTGTGAGGAGAAATGAGATGTTCTGTACTCTTAGAGGTCAAACGGTCAAAACAGGAACATGTAGAGATCATTTGACTAGAGAAGTCCTTGACAACATTGTTTATATTGTTTTCACCATCAGTGAGACGAACACAGGAAAAGGAAGGCGAGAATTGAGGTCCTCCTACCTTGGAAGTGAGTATCAACTGTCTGCTTGGCTGCTTGCCTGACTGACTGATCAAGTGACGAACTGACAGATTGACTGATGATGGCACAGAGACAGCTGGGAAGTTGGGCAGTTATTGAACGGTTGGAAGCACTTATGAGCAGGCCCTGGTGAAAGGGAAGGGAGAAAGTTGTCCTTAGATAGAGTTAGCCACTTTCAATAATTATTTTTTAAGCAGTCACCAGAAGAGCAAGCTTTAAGTTGGTGTCTATGCCTACTAACAGCTGTTGTTAGTTTGACTTAACAGTAAAAGTTCCACTCACTGAAATACAATACTATGGAGTCGACTGACTAAGATTCAGAAGCTCATGGAATTTCCACTCAAGTGTCCCTTAATATGTGGATTTTACACCTTTTTTTGGACCCTTTAAAGTGTATGCTTCCTAAGAGAGAAATGTTTACTTATGAGAATGTGCATGGAATGGTGAGGAGAGAGCAGAGAGATTTCACTGCATTATGAAGCTGCAAGACAGGACTGGGGGACATTGTACAGTTCTGAAGAGGGAGGGGTGGGAAAGTTTTGTTGGAGGATTGGTTATCAACCACAAAAATACAATCATTATAAAACTTGTAAAAAAGAAACCTCCTTTTATTTGATTTGTTTCAATTTGACCTGATAACTTTCAGAGAAAATCATGATATTTAAAATCAGGCTGTTTGTTTCTTTGTTTGTTTTTTGCAGAAGGTTGCTTTAGTGACATCACTGGAGTGGGCATAGGACTTCTATCCCTATACCTGAGATGGGTCCTGGACCCTCCACCTCAGGTCCAGCCGGTAGATCTCATAGAGAGTGCCAAAGAAGATGCCCAAACCATATCAGTCTACATGTACATTCTTCTCTTTGTCACTGCAGCTTTTCTCTTTGCCATCAGAGGAAGAATTTTGGAAATGGTTTCTTTCTTTAGAGGAACAAAAAGCTATACGGTAGAGAGGTTACCAAGTTAGAAAAATAAAAATTAGGGATGGTTACTATTTTTAGTCAAAGGTATGAAAAACACTGTAGGTCACTCAAAGAGATAACATTTTATCATTTAAAATGTAGAATGTTTAACAGAAAAGGAGATGCTATCCATACACATGTGTGGATCTGACTTTTGCGAGCCTTTAGATTAAGGCGTTAAACCCTCTAGGAGTGATTAGCATCTAATTTCTCCCCACAATGTCACCCCTGAGTGACACATCAAGGTCAAAGGAATGAAAGAAATGATCACCAACTAGAGAAACTTTGGGTTGTTAAACAAATTCTCCTTGTCAGCGCCTTAAGAAATGTATAGAGAATGGTATCGAGAATTTGGATACTGATGTTTGGGTGTAAAGGGTTAAGAGGAGTTAATAAGGCAGTACCATTTTTAGGTAGCTGCAGGCTCACTGCACAGTGACTGGTGTTGTAGCATGGTTATGTAATTACATGTACTGGTTGACATGAGCAGCGGCATTTCAATTTTATTTAATCATTTAGCAATGCATTAAATTGAGCTATTTATGGAAAGTGACTCTCTAGCTTAGAAGAGCTGTTGTATTACAGTCAAAAATAGAACCAAGGCATCATGTTTACCCTTCCATTCATAAGAGTGCTGAAAAGTAGCTTCTCCTTACAACATCACTGTACCGTGAAGTAGAGAGGGCAATTAGAAATGGATGGAAATTAATACCTCTTTGACTCCTAAGAGTGACTAGCATGTAATTTTTCCTTACAATATCACCCCTTAATCACACATTACGGTCCCAAGAATAAGGGAAATGATCACCAACTTAACAACCACTTGCTCGTTAAACAAATTTCTCTGGTTACCCCTAGAACAGTAAGGAGAATCTACATACTAATGTTAGGGTGTAAAGGCCGGGTTATAGGGGCTCCTTTTCCACTATAAACACAAAGCTCTCAGCGTCTGAATATAAGAATTGTATTGCAGAACAGACCTTTCCTGCCTATCATTTAATCAATGTAGCGTAACAGTTAATTTCTGCTACTGTCAAAAACAGTTCAATTTATAAAGCTCAAACTAACAGCTATAATTTATTTAAACTCTGGTGTTAATATTACCGGCCTCCTTTGCGCAAATTTATCGTAAATGTCACGATAACACTAAACTCGATTTACTTAATCATTTAACTTAGAAATAAAGCTTTTATCGCGTCGATATATTAGCCACTGCCATCATTGCGTTTGACTTCAGATTTTTTCAGTTCCTTTTGTTTTCCTTAAAGCTGTCCGCTTGGATCGTAACTTAAGTAGTTAAAATCACTCCTCCCAGAACAGATGCTTACAGTCCAGTATTTTTAGTTGATTTTTCTCTGAGGACTGAAAGAGGGTGGCGATGATGCCTCTCCAGTCTAGGAAGTACGTGTTGTCTATCAACATCATGATGGCGATTAAGAGCACGCTCGTACTCCGCTAGGTTCCAACGTTCCTCTGGCTAAGAAGGAAAGAAATACTAAGTTATTTCATTAACTGTACATGAAAAAAACGATGCGGATTCTCTAGTGTTGATAAAAGAAATCTCGTTTATTGGTTACCACTGGCGTCCTCCCCCAATCGCTCCCTCGCCCCGAATTATTAAGGCCAAATCATGGCTTGCACCTAGCGAGGACATATTACAGAGATGTGAGATCTGTTTGTTATCATATCCCTAACGACGGAAAAGTCAATATTACCCCTTGGCTTCTCTGTCAATTTGCGGGTTGGCGAGCCTTTATAAGGAAATATTAAAAGCTCAAAGACTCACTCCGCCTCCCCCCACCCCTCGAACTTAATCACAGATCAAAGGCAAGATGAGCTGACTTTCAAGTAGTCACCGCATTCTACGCTTACACCGGTGTACATTTCATTTTTGTCCGGCGTAGTGTGTCAATTGTTTTCAGTGTCTCGACTACAGAATTGTCCTTTTAAGTCGCGCACCTGCTCAGATATCGTATTGGGCGTCATATTAATATTACTTGTTATTAGTATTGTCATTTAGAAAGTCGTGACAAAATGAAAACAAGACAACACGCCCTGTTTCGCCTCAGATCATTTTGGGTGAATGCGACTTAGCACTTATACAGATCGGAGCTGAGTATCAAGCAAATTGCTGTTTTTTCACCGGTTGCTCGATAACTATGTGTAGTTTTAGCGAATTCTTCCCTAGTTACGAGAACAATGCTGAGGGGCAGCGAAATGGATGAAGTAAGATGATATCCCGCAGCCTTGCCCACGTTATAATGGAGAGGCATAAAGATTGAAAATTTGCAGATTGATAACAAATTGAATTAATAATGATGATAATCGTACTTATAATGATGATGATAACGTTGGTAAAAAGAAGAAAAAATAAAACGGAATTACACCTCAATCTTGCTCAAATTAAGAAGAACATAAGCTACTAGGTAGCCGATTATCTGCGTCGTTCAATTTGAAAGGGAGAAGTGAAAATCTTAAGTCTTTATCAGCAGTGGATTAATGTTGAATTACGATCAAATGTTGAAAATAAACTTAACTTCGGGGAAAAACTGATCTGACCTTAGTACTTATTCAGCCTGTACAACAGACCTGCAAACGAGAGGGATGGGTTTAAGGCAAGCTAGTCGAGCGGGAAATTTGGGAGGTGTTGGGACTTAAGTCCTTAAGACGATCAAGATGTGAAGATAAGAGGAGGGACTGAGGAGACTTATGTGCGCTTCTCCATATTAAATGATGTTGTCAGTATCTAAAAACGAATATTTCTTGGAGACTTTCGCAGAACAGTCAACATAACTGACAACGCACGTTTTGAATCCTTGTTCGCTGGACCATTTTTTCACTTCTTTGATGAATTCTTACAGGTTTAATGGAGTAAATAAATGGAGTGTCTGAGGAAAACCGAAGCGCACAATGGGCGTCTAGCTTCTCTATATTTAATATCGTACCGTTATAAAAGACCTTCGGCCTTCGCTTTCCTCCGTTTCCAAACCATCCCATGATTCCATGTGAGTGATCCGTGAGAAATGCAACTGTTAAGAACGCAAAAATTACAAACGCATTCATTTTTCTTGAGCTTGAAAGTGCCATGTCGTTTAAAGTGCTCAACCGTCTGCTTCCTTCTTCAACTGCCTTAAAGGACGTGATCAGCTCTTCTTATGAATTAAGGGGTATCGCCTTAATAAATGTTTTCTCAAGGATTCCCGTCGGGAGCTGAATTGAAATCGATAGCGCATTTTCAAAGGTTGGTGGGTTGGTTAAGAACAGCCAACGCTTGTTATTCGCCAAAATATCCCGTAACTAAGGAAATTTCTACCCCGACATTTTGTCAATGGTTGTTTGTGACGCCCAGAATTATACACTTGTTTTCCTGTGCCCTGCTTAGCAGGACACGATCTAACAAATAAGCAAATAAGCTGAATAAAGCGTAGTGGTGCTATGTAGGGAATGATATGAATAGACAGAGAGGAAAAAGCATTGTTCTATACTATACCATTTGTCACTGAAGTGAGACTGAAGCATAATTAAAGATTCAAAGACGCACGCTGTATTCTGCGAGGAGGTTGCAAATCATGCAGGTTCTTGGATCGAACTTTATGATTGTTTGAAAGAAAACATGAACGCGAATACGTGAGGTCTGGGAGGGAAGAAAATGAGTGGAAATTAACAAATATTCTGCTTGGCTTCTCTTTCTTATACTGAAATCGACCACATGGAATTCTGCCTGGAGACAGGAGAAAAAAAGAAATGTGTGTGAAACCAACATAATCTCCATCATCATAAAATTATATAATTGTGATTTCTGCTGATTGGCATAGAAAACAACAGTCACGTGGAGAGGCTACATTTAGGCGAATGTAGCCTAAAAAAAAAAAAAAAAAAAAAAAAAAAAAAAAAATTGTTGATATTTTTAGCCTTTATATTTTCTTTCAGTACAGTGTAAGAAAGCATTTACTGTCCGAAAGGAAGCTTAATTAATCTATACTACGCAAACGAGTGGGAATAAGATTGTTAAGATTTAATTCACTTTATAAACAGCCTTCCCTAGGCGCTGAGATCCACCCATATCCATGGAGAGAATATGTGGTACACGGAACTCGTCTTCAAGAGGAAGGATATGTTGCCGTGAAAAGCTAGAGTCAAACAGTTGAATAAAATAAATAAATAAATAAATAAATAAATAATGCTTGCAGACAAACAGACATTGACAGTATACGTGGAGAGAAAGGAAGAAACAGAAAAGCTTCTTTTTCTTTTCAATATGTACTGTTTTTATGTCTGTTCGTCTGTTTATGGAGTTTCTCGCGTGATGTGTGCGTCAAGCACGTGTCCAGACTTACCCCTAATCAAGATCCGAAACTGCTCTTATACTTGTAAGTAACCTACAATTCTAATGAATTTGAATGATCAAACTTTCCTCTTTCTTATCTCCTCGTCGATTCACAGCACCTCAGATTTTGGCCAAGAAAAACCTTTATTAGGTGTCAATCCATCATTTTTCAAAGCAATTGTGTTTTTTTGTCCACGCAATTGATAAATTATTGAAAGATATGTTCGCAGACAAAGTAAAGCAAATGAGCCGATTTTTTGCCTAGTGAACGCCTTACTACAATCTTAAAGAAGGTCACAACAAGTTTGGATGAATTACTTTTCGCTAGCGCTTTCAAAAGAACCTTCGCTGTTTGGTGAGAGCTTTTTGTTGTTTGCCCAGTGCATGCGGTCATAGGTGAAAGGTACGTACTAATAAAAAAAAAAAATTTGACTTCAATGATGAACTTTCAAATGAAACCAGGAATCTGAGCATAGAATCACTGTAAAACCTAATTGAATTACCCCTTACGTCGCGATTTCTAGGTGCGGCAGATGTTTGCGTGTCCTCTGTTATTTGAGATGTCATGCAATGAACCTTGCATTCTTTTTGATCAGAAATTAAAATAGAAAGGTGGGATTTTGTAATAGGTAAAAATAGTTTTCCCTTTCACGTGGGTACGTGCCTAAATGCGTTTGAGAAAGTAATGTTCCAGTTGATTTGAAACTAGTTTACTCATAGGCGCTCTGTCAGTACTTGCTTGAGTCAAAATGAATTTACTTAATCTATCTTTAATGGCAAAGTTTTTTCTGCCGCGTTGATTTTTCGTCGTTCGTTCTTTGTTAGGTAGAGCTAAGTCAGTTTAAGAAAGTCGAAATTGCATATTTCCTCTGACCCTGTCTCGTCCCCTCTCGCTCGCCTTTAATCGTATTATCTCCTTCAAGATTTCGAATGAACTTGGTAGAAGAAAAAAAATTAAATGCCTCTAGTCTTTGCAAGAGTCATCTGGGCTCGTAGGGCAACATCTTGCCACCCAGAGCACTGGTTAAAAATGAGAACGATAACCCCCTCATAACAACAGCAACGAGAATGATAATAATAATGGTGATAATATTGATTTTAAAACAAGAAAAAAAAACCGCTTTCTTCGCTTGAACGTAGATTATTGTGAAAGACCGGAACCCTCGCATCCTTTTCATCTCATTCTGACGCAATTCCTACGTAATCGGATACTGTCGACGTTTTTTTTTTTTGTCGGTCACGTCTAATGTCACGCTAAATTGTTACAGAAGTGGCGTCCATCTGTTAAAACTCTGAAGATACCGTGAAGGTTTTGCGAACTCATCTTTTCAGACGAATAATTTTGAAAGAACATGTCGGAGTCAGCTGCGTTTCTTTTTCTTTTATTGAGTACAGGTGAGGCTCCAAATCTGTCAAATTTAAAATGATTTCACAGCGGTATCGTGAATGATTGAGTAAGCCTCCACAAACTAGTGGTTCATGATTAGCAATCCAAAATGCTTCAGTGGTTTTTAATTAACCCATTTCCTTGGTCGGAATGCAGTAAGCTGTCTTCCCTTTAGTTTGAGTTACTGAAAGATAAACTATGAAATGGAAGGGGTAGTTTTTGGTTACGATTTGTTACCAAGGGAAAGAAAAAGCTCCAGAGGATGGGCCGAGAAGTTTATTTTTCAAATTGTATTCAATACACCGCTTGACTGAACAGAACGAACAAAGGGGCGCTGAATAAGCTATTGAATTTAATCTCCATCAAGACAATATATATCCCTCGTAGCGAGCTTACAGTTCCGTTCGAATTTAGTTCGACTAGTTGACATTCTCTGCTCGAATATTCAACTCACGTAAGTAGATATTCAAACTAAAAACTATATGACACTTCGCTAAAACCGTGTTTACAAAAGCGAAAGAATCGCGAGGCAACCATTGAAGGACCTCCATTTGTTCATTTGAAACGAGGATTACTTTTGATTGAGTGGTAAACTGGGAAGGCAGTCTATTAAAGGTCAAATTAGGTAGCTGGAGGAAACGAAATGAATTGGTCGCTCTTGAAATGAACACGGAAAAATTTAGCAGACGCGCGTCAGTCACATGACGCTGTCATTATGGTCTAGCTAGCGCTGTTTATCATGTTTTGATTTTCTTTTTCCTTTTACTTGTGCGAAGCGACAGATATGATTGATATTCCTGTAAGAAACCATACAAGTGACCATCGTTAACTGCTCTAAAAGCGAAAGTGTGATATCGATTCTTTGTTCACACCGAAGGGTGAGCAATTTGATAAATGTAATTGATGAATTTTATTGGAGCATATTACAACAACCCAGCACGTGAGTAGAAGTAAACTTTGAAAAAAATTCAGTCACCAGAAAGTTAGAAAATATCAAGAGTACAGCAATCCCTGTCAGCACCGCGAATTCGTGAGGAATGAGGCGGAAATTAAGTAGGTACATATATTTCACAGCCTGCTTAATCTCGAATTAACTTAGCATTGTTCAGCTATCCTATTTCTGTCACGCGTAAGTAAGGAAGAACGCGCGACAGAATTAAAAATAAAACAATAAAAACAACAACAACAGCGGCTGGTGAAAATGTTTTACGTACCCATTTTTTCACAGCTGTGATAAAGAAATTGGAAAGCTTGGGAGTGTACAGCTGTCTTTCTTTTGTCACGTTTAAGTAAGGAAGATAGCGTGACAGAGGCGCAAAAGCAGTGTCATCAAAGTAGGGAAGGAATGCGTGCAAAGAACGGGAACGCTCGCCTTATTGACACGGCAATAATTTATGTGTACACTATCAATGATTTAATTTCAAAGACTGTGTTTTCCACTGCTACTTTAAATTTATCTAGGGTACTGTTGGATATCAATATTCTTGTTGTTTGTACCTTCCTTCGAAAACATCGTGCTCAGGAACCCCCCCACCCTACTTAACTAACGTCTTTGCGGTCAGTAGTCTTACTGTAGGCGCGGAAGCTCATTACTAAATACCTAAGCATATTTCTGCTCATTCTGGAAACTTTGCAGCGTCTTAGAAAATTCCCCGGGTTGTTCTGGTTGTTCACCCTCTCTTGTATGGAGTGAGAGGCGCTTACTGTAAGGGTTAAGTGCTTTTGCCCAGAAACACCACCTAAAGTAGAGACCTTAGGCATTCCGTTGAAACTAATTAATTATTTTCAGTTAGAATTTCGCAAATGACTGAATGTGTTTACCGTCTTTTCCTGCGCCCCGCAGAAGTCGGGCTTTCCGCTCTCAGACCACGCAAACTTTGGTTACAATTCACGTTGTGGTTTTGCAGAGGAAGGCTAAGAATTTTAGATGGCTTTAAAACGCGCCTACCGAGCTGTTTTCTGCCCATAAGATCTTTAGTTTTGCCAAGTCCTCGTTGCTGTAGTTGCCGGGGCCTCAAAGTCCCTAATAAATACGCTTAAAGTTTAGGCCAGGGTCACTCCCTCTTTTATCCAGCACGAAATACCACAGGCAGACAACACTATGTGTTCCTGGTAAATAATTGTTGACATGAAACGAATAAAATTTATGAGGGTTATGGATATAACATATCTAAATTACTTCTCGGTCTGATTATTCCAATAAAGTTAAATACAACGTTAATAAACTTATTTGTGGTATTTTTACGCCTTCATGGGCCGTTTGAAGCGTCTTTTTACGAAATTACTTTTGGCCGGCCATTTTGAGAGCTTTCTTCTAAACTCTTAGATATCTTGTTCGTCTCATGTCAACAATTGTTAATCACGAACACACAGTATGGTGTGCCTGTGGTAATACATAAAGCCTCCGCCTTTCCCATAAGGAATAGTGATCTGTATTATCTTCCCAGCGAGATGACTGTGAAATTGTTATTGCGTTTACACAGGTCTGTCATTGGTCAGCTGCAAAGTAGGAGTATGTAACACGACATACTTCATCTCTAATGGACAGCAGTGCCAGAGAGAAATGATCAAGAATCTGATGACAAACCCGAACACTAACTGCAGGTAGGTATGCACGCTCTTAGGGTAGCTACTTCAAGAAATTTTTCGTTTTGCTTTGTTTTGTTTTTTGTTTTGCTTTGCTTGTTTTGCTTTGCTTTTTTCTGTTCTATTCTGTTCTGTTCTTTTCTGTTCTGTTCTGTTCTGTTCTGTTCTGTTCTGTTCTGTTCTGTTCTGTTCTGTTCTGTTCTGTTCTGTTCTGTTCTGTTCTGTTCTGTTCTGTTCTGTTAAATCCTGGTTAAGTATGGAGATAGAAAGTCAAAGAAAAAAACCAAAGGAAAAAACAATAATGAACAAGGATGGCTTGCGACTGAGGCGATGAAATCGGATTATAAATTAGACAGTTGTCACAAGTGATCTCTGAACAAGTAACATATTGCTATTTTATTCCCGCTATCGATGAAATGAGACTTCAAATTCGTAACAAATAAATGGAGAAGGAGAAGTGGCCATTTTAGTTGACTTTTAACACTGTAGACAAAATTTTTCGAATCACTCGTTGCTAATAGAGTATAAAGGTGGGGCCATAAAAAATTGACCACCCATGAGGGGGGTCACTTGAATGCTACAGAGCCTTTTGAGGGAATCAGTTAAATTTTGTTTTGACACAACCAAAATCCTCCGACCCTCTACCCCCCCTGGGATGAATAACCCATTTCTTGGTGAGTAAATAGTGGGATGTGATACAATCCTTCTCACATGAATTATGACAATTGGCTCTTTTCTATTTTGCAGTTACGAATACGAGAGGGAAAAATCCTGTCTGAAGACCCACGTTGCAACTTGCATGAGTACATTTGTTGTCCAGGTGACGTCACTACTTCTTCATCAATTATACCATTGTGGCGACCTCACTTACCAACCCTCTATGGTCAATAAATTAATTCTTGGAAAGATCAAATGCAAGGATGAAGCATTTATGGACACCGAGTTTTGCTGGGAGTATTTCCGAGATAAGTTAAATTCCAATCGGTCTGACCCATCTTTGTGCAGGTGAGATTTGGGATGATTGCGTTGGTGCCATTGTATTTTTTTTTTCGCGTTGCGTTTCCATATCACTCAGATCGGCAAACCTTGATTCCTATGCCGTGTAGTTTTTCAAATACCCCCCCCCTAAAGAAGTGAGGGAAGAAGGAGAAATAATTTAATTTTTTAAGTGTATTTGCATGCATTTCTTTGAGTTCCAAACCTGCAACCTTTTTTTACGATAAAACACTTGTGACTTACTTTTAGAAGGCTCATTCTACTTCAAGATCACTGAAATACTACGTTTTTGTTTTGCATTTTTTTTTTCTTTTGGTTTATTATTCGTTTCCTGAGCCACCTTTACTCGGTATTTCTCTTAAGTAACGTTTTAGTCCTCCATTTGCCCCTCTTAACATGGCATTTGTAGTAAGAAACCGTATTTTTGTTAACAATCTTAGATAAAGCAAGCATTCGAAAAAGAAAGTCAACAGTTTGTGAAGGTTTCTATCAGCTTTGGTTCTTATGCAGGGGGATTGATAATAGGAGATTATTGTCAATAACTATCTTAATTTATTTCATGAACTAGATGATGTACAACTTTAAATCTCTATTGGTATAAAAGTATACTAATTAATGGATACAGTGATATTTGTTCTAATCTGTTTCCAGGGAATATGCTTTGGCAAAGCATTGTATAAATGAAAAAGTTATGGCAAATTGTGAGATATGCAGCTCGCTTGTGAGAGATCATTACAATCCGTTTTGCGCAAACAAAAGCGATCCACTAATGGTCACGAATGGTACTGACTTTTTTTTTTCTGATCATGTCTTCTGTCTGTCTGTCTATCTATCCCTCTGTCTGATTGTCTGTCTGTCTGTCTGCCTGTCATAGCCTGTCTGTCTGTTTAACTTTCTGCCGGTCTCTTGTTGACTTTTTTTTCTGTCTGCCTGTCTTTCATAATCTGTCTGTTTGGTTGTCTGTTGGTCTCTGTCTGTTTCTTTGTCTGTCTACCTGTCATGGTCTATCTTTCTGTTTGACTCTCCGTCGGTTTCTGTCTGTCTATCTCTCTGTTTGTTTCTTTGTCTGTCTGCCTGTCATAGTCGAACTAACTGTTTCACTGTCTGTCGGTCTCTGTCAACTGTCTGTCTGTCGTTCGATCTGGCGGCCGTTAACAATGTCTCCTATTTGAAAGAAAGAGGCCTGATTTCAGTTTATAATCAGTATTATTGTTAATTTTTTTTTGATAGGATGTCAGGATTTAGCGAAGCCCCTTCCGTGTTCCTCTTCCTCAGTATACAAAACAGCGTTAGAATGCGAGAGAATTTTTTTGAAGAGCTTTATGGAAAACGACAAAACTGATTGCGGGTATGTTCATAATAGTTCTTATTTTGCTTTAGGCTTTGCCCATCATACTTGTGTTTGAGATGGAATTTAAAGTATAGGAGCGATGATTTGGAATAATACTTGAATTAAATTTCAATTATACGAACGGTACATTAAATAATGTCAAACCATACTGTTTGTCATTTGCTATTCTGTATCAGGATATCTTTGACAACTATTTGTGATACTTCTTTTCCTCTGTCTAAGGACGCGTTAGCCTCCAGTTGAAATATTAATCTAGGAGTATTTTCTCTACTAGGCGAAAAGGTATATAAGTAGATATAGATAGCTGGCACTGAGTGAACCAATCGGAACACTAGGTATCTTAAGGTATCTATCATTTACGCTAATAGAAAAACCATATCTTTTTTGTATATAATTTTCGTTCGTGTACAGCTTCCAGTGCATCATTTTAGAAAAAAAAAAGCAGATTGACAGTTTCTATACATTTACATGTTGAATAAAAAAAAAAAAATTGGGAAAACTCAGTTTTCAAATTTCAACGAGAACCATCGAATAACACTGGGTACATTACTTTAAACTTGTCCTTTGTTTAGCCAATAAAACGAGAGGGTTACGTTGACATTTCACTTTGATAGTATTCCTAGTAAATTTCCTACATTATTTGTACAAATGTTATTTCCATTTGGATTTTTTTCTGTTGAAGCGTATGGTCACGAGTTGAAATCAAAGCTGATGTAGTTGAAAAAATACACTGATTGTGAGATTTGCGGGAGAATGGGGTTTTTGTCATTATTTATCGCCGGGGGTGTGGGGTAGGGTGGCAGGAGTTTGTTTTTGTCACGATAAAATTTACCTAATCCCCGGCCCCTTCAAAAGCAGTTAAGTGGCAGTCAACTCTCTTTAGTCCCCCCCCCCCTCTCCCCTTATACTCTGTTGGTGACAACTGGTCCCCACCCCGTTCCTCGTGAAGTAATCACCCCTAATCCTCTGTCCTCGGCGATGAATTAAAACAGTTCCCTAACGATATTTGATCTACATCTTGTTCCCAATAGACCTGCGCTCACCACACTGAAAAGTTGCTTGGATGAGCAGTTATCTCAGAGGTGTAAAGACGACTCTAATAATCGGCGAGTCGTGGCTGACATAAGGAAAGCTGTAATGGCGGTGCTTCGCGGTCCAAGATTCTTTTGTGATGCAGTGAACCTACGCACGATCGATCTTGATTTCAAAGCTCGTCCCACGATCCCTTGTAAAGCAAACTTTTTTCCAGAGATGGAGAAATGCGCCGAACCTGTAAGGATGGAGTTCAATGCACAAAACGGTATCGGTGGGGAATTTTGCAGGTAAACAGTTGTGAGCTAGAGAGTAAGCCTACGAGGATGGGAAGGGGAGATTTGGAGATAGGGAAGGGGGGGGGGCGTAGGGGGGAAACTGGCTATGCGAGGAGTAGAGCCCCTTAATTAAGTCAGAGTTTTCACAATTGTTTGGTAAAAGACTGGTGCTTGGAAATTTAAGCCATGGAGGGAAGTGTTACAGAGTTTTGAAACACTGCAATCATTCAAACTTAGTTTTATACATACAATAGTGGTCAAGAAGTCTACTTTTTTACTCTAAGTGATGTTCCACCGAGGCTTGGCTAGAACTTTTAATTCTATCTTATTCTTTGATTATGTTGTATAATTTCGCTATCGTTGTTGTTGTTGTTGTTGTTTATTTTATCGCAATTGTATCTGTCTCTTTGTTTGTTGTTGCAGTGTGCAAATTATTGCAACCGCTGCAGCCTTCTTGCCAATAGCAAAAAAGAGTTAACTAGCCTTAAAGGGCAAAAAAATTAGCGATTAGGCGTAAGAATTGACAAATGTTAACCGTTAGTCATAACAAAAGAGAACCGTAAAAATGTTTTCATTTCTAGAATGTGTCATTTTGTGTCATTTTGGGTTAATCGTTAGGCGTAAAACGGCCAAAATTTTTAACCGTTAGCCATCACTCCATTTAGACTCTCTTACATTCGTTTCAATTACTAATTAACCAATAAAAACATTTTTTCTTCCTTTTGTCCGTTTTCTTCAGCAAGTTCCGCACAGCTTTAAATTGTTCCAATGGTGTGCAAAAATCCTTTTGTGAGTTTGATGAAAGCGTTGTTGGTATGATTCAAAGATCCTACTCATCGTTTTGCGTGGATGGAACCAGCACTGGTGGAGAGGGCCGTAACAATACTGCATCTTCTACGTCTGCAAGCTTTGCTTTTTTATCTGCCTTTGTTTTTCAAGTACCGATGTTATTGGATGCCATCAACTCCATTTTGTTTTCTGTACAGTATTGATTTCTGTAACGTATTATGCCGTTAGGAATTTTTCTCCAACTTGCATATTTACCACAGTCGCTTTTCTGATCGACGTCTTTTCATTTGTTGTTCACCTTTTTTAGTGCGGCCTGTAAGTCTAACTTGAATTAATATTTTATTGTTCGTGAAACTTTTCGAAGACCTTGTGTTATTTTCCTTTGTTCAGTATCGTTCCCCCCTGGGAGGGTAGGTCAGAGGAGGCGAGGGTGGGGAGGGGCGGGGATCAGAGACAATCAGATTTTATACCCGCGGAAACATAGTTGCCTGCCAGATCTTTTGGTGTCTATATTGAAATTTTGAAGGTGTTTATATAGTCTATAGTTATTGATAGCTTTAGGAGTTCCTAACTATGTGTTCTTGACTATGCGAAGTCGCTGTTTTTTTTGCAGATATTTTATCCCTACACAGTTGATTGAAAATAAAGAAGACAGGAAATAGAAGAAAGATAAAACAAAGCGAAAAAAATATTTTATTCATTTGATGGAGCAAATGACGAAAGTAGGAAGAAAAGCAACCCTTCCAACTAATAATGATTTTTTTCTGATCTGTTTGGATTCTTCTTTGCTTATAAGGATTTAATTGAAATTAAGTAAATATGTTTAACAAAACTGTTGTAGTCAATTTAATGTGTGCCACTAATCAGACAATTTCACTCAGAGTACTACTAGACTGACGTCTTTCCACAAAGTGCCAAACTGTATTTAATGTATGGTTCTAGGGTATGCTATGTTAGCCGTAAGATGTCAGATATTCGGAGTCTCTTTGTATATTCTAAAATATTCGCGTACACACTCATAGTTGCTCGGGCACTTCCCGAATGGGCTATAAGGAGATGTTCCACCCAAAAGGAACTCTATTTTCTCACGGCGTCAACGAACATCCCAGCAGCAGTTAGGCAAAAATGAATGAATTTGAATGATCAATCATGTGTCGAACGTTTCGACCATAGGTTAACGGACGGCTAAGAACTATAGATTCAAACAAAGAGAGTGCACTAGAATAAGCAGAAAATTTCCCCAAATCATGTTTTTTTTTCTTTCTTTTTTGTTTAATAGTAAATTCTATCAAGGTTATTTTGCGTCTGATCTTTTTCGGCTTGTGTTTCGCGCGGTCTCGAAGCAGATTTACACTTTAAGTTTTCCTATCGATGGCATTATCTCTATTCATATAAGTTCATGAGGGTGTGCACAAACCGCTGGTCGAGTTTCATCAAACGAGAGGCACACGAGTGCATTTATTTTACTGACAGAAAGAGAAGGAGCGGCACAAGGCTGGCAACCAACCGGAGCAATGCACTTGAATGTTTGGTGTTGCCATGAGAACAGAAGGGATTATTTATGGTGGCGGTGGTGTCGAGAACTTCCTGTTGAAAATTGCAGTGAATTTTTCGAGCATTGTTGATACATTCCCGGGCTTCCTGATAATTATTCATATAGACGCTGTAACAGGACAACACAAAAGTACAATAAGTAGAAACCAGTCATTATTTATCGCTCTGCGGGGAGGGAAGGGGGTTTATAGGACTTTAAGGAGGGTCAAAAGGTTTTTTTTTGGGGGGGGGGGGACGGAGGGGAATCAGTCGTCCTTAACAGAGTTGAGAGGAAGGAGCATAGAAATTTAATACCTATGAAAGGGGGGGTCATTAGATCATTAGAGAGCCGTCTGGGAGGAGTAGGAAATTTCATTGTGACATAATCCTGCGAACTCTTCCCCCCCCCCCCTCCTCCCCTAGATGATAAATAGTGATCATTAGCGAGATCTGGGCAATTCGAGATCTTATTTTCCTTATCCACTCACCGATATTTATACAGTTTTCATTTGTAACATGCTGCAAAATCCGAACTTCGATAGATTTAAGTAAGGATGACTAAGAAAGCGGGGGTTTGATGACGAAATCTTTTACATAGAAACATTATTTAAGCATTTGTTTAGTCAATGACTCTAATCTAACAATCATGAAAAATATCAAAGTAGGAGAAAAAGTAACTACCGATGAAGTGCACGAACCTGCAAGTTACTCCGCTTTGCCGGTCCGCCGTTGTTGAAGTTTGATAGGTATTACGAAACGTTCTAGCGCAATTTTCTGCCTCGTTAAAGAACTCGTCATCACAATCCACAAGGGGTAACACACTAGGATGCAGCTCGCTCGTGTCCAGGCTCACGTTGTTGCAAAACAGGCGCTCATTAGTCAAAGTCGCTTGAAGAGCTTTCTGTGTGTCCTCTATATTTTTCATAGTTGTCTTACAAGTGCCAAGTCTATTTTCGAGGCATTTTCTGTTCCTATCATTCTCTTTGCTGAAAAATAAGGGACATTACGTTTTTCTCACACACAGACACGTTTATGATGAATTTGCACTAGCTAGGTCAAACGTGACATTTACCACAAACACCTCTCAGCTGCTTTCACCTCAAACTCACATAAATTTTAACCATTTTACACGCACGAGAACCAACAGGGTGTGTCTCCAAAATATTTCCATAACTATATTGACTAGGCCACAGAGTTATTGACGATAATTTATGAGTAATACAGTAAATCCACACGGTAATACACTTTGCCTGTTTTTATGGTACTTCGCTTTAATATGTTTAGAATTACATGTCATTGGTAAAGGAAACATCTTGGTAAGAATCCTCATAGCTCATGAGTCACTTCTCTAACCCTTTTATTCCTTATGTTGATAACCTTGCTGTCGGCTATGACTGATCGGACAATTGAGGCAGCCAATTATACTAAGTCCACTCAACTAAATCCACCAATCACAGAATTGATCACAATAACCATAGCAAAAACCACTTAAAAAAACAAAAAAACAAAAAAACAAACTGGAGAATTTCCAAAATGGAAGAATTATTAAATCAACACATTACTGACCCAAGACACTCCACCGGAGATATTTGTTCTAGGTGTATTTGTTTTTTCGGAAATTAATCGGTAACAGGACTTCTTGTCGTCCAATTCTGTCTGTTGTGATGCGGGTGATTAACAAAATCGGACTCCCGCTCCGCGGTCGTTCGATTCTGTTAATCACAATAACTGCTCATAGGACTCCACTCAGTCCTATTACCATTATTAATCATCATGGTGGTTTCATTTTCCTCGTAGAATCCTGTTTTTTAATTCACTAATTTGAAGGCATCTCCTAAATAAGAATTTAATTTTCTTTGCAAGGAAAAATTACGGAAATGAGAAATCATTTTATTTTTATGTTGGGAGTTGAGGAAGCTTTTCTACGTGTAATGATTTCCGCATTCGCTGCTTATAAGAAATGTAACATGTTTTTTGAGCCACGTTTGGTTATACGGTTCCAACTTTTAACAGTGAATCTTCGCTATCTTACAATCGTTACTAACCAGAATTTTCAACCCCCAAATTCCCGAAAATTTAGGACGCCATTTCTACTGACCTCTGTTGAAATAGCAAACCCATCATAGTCAATCCGGTCATTTCCTCATTAGCCTAGAAGTACAATCCCCTCCTCCTAGGGATTAAGGACTGTGTTAGAGCCCAACTCACCTACAGGTGTGATCACCTTCATTGGAAAATTTAGCAGCTCCTTCATCTTCACATTCCATGGCCTCCTCATAAATAAGCGAGATGGGGCATTCCAGTTTAGCGTGAAGATCCGTGCAAGCTGCGAAATGAGATCGCGAAAAAAAGGAAAGTGTTGTATAAACTAACGAATCAATCAATCAAGAGAAAAGTTACATTTTGCTCATGAGTTTACATAAATGGAGTGAGCAATTGAGTCGGAGAGGCAAACGGACGACCGATAAAGCAGATTGAGCGAGAAATCTGTACAAATGAACTTAAATTGAAACACACAATGAAATCAGCTTAAATGAAACTTTTGGGGCTATTAACTTTTGATTTCCCTCATAGAGGATCAGTAACGATATTATCATCACTGTCATCATCCTTATTATCATCATTAGCAACTGAACCTTTCTTATTTCGAAAGAGTTGTCGCATATCGATTCTTTGTTGGTATGAAGACAATGTCTTCTATCAATAAAAATAGACACAGGACGAATGCTCTTATTTCAGTGCCTTTAGGCAAAACGGAAAGCATCCCTAAAGGTTGACTTAACCTTTAGGCGTCTTTAATTGTAAACCGAAATCTTCAAAAGCTAACAGTTACCTTTCATGAATCTTTAATTGAACATAAGGTGAACTTTAATAACGTAAATCTTTTAGCATCCTTTAAGTGGTCTCTTTTTTGGCACAAAAGAAGGTTTTTAATTAATATACATTTAATTAACCTTTGAGGTGAGAATTAAACGAGTCTCGCTGTTTTGACATCTTTAATTGACGCACTAAAGATAGCCTAATTGTAATCTGAACTGTCAATAGGAAATGCATCACAAATTAGCCATGTGCAGCAGCAAATTTTGTCAAAATATCTGAATTGAAAGCAACGGGTTTTCATTTTCGCATCTCCTTTATAGAACGCATGGAGTGCGATGACAAGAAAGGATATATTACTGCGCTCATTGTAATGACTTCGTGTCACGTTCAACTTTCGAAAGGCATGAGCGAAAACGTAACAAGTCGAACTTGACAGATACTTTCGGGTCGACTTCAAATTCCCGTGATTTGTTTCAAGAAATTTCAAGTAAAGGGAGCATCGTATTAGAAATAGTAAGTATCTTTACACAGAGGAAAGTCCTAATTGCTTTTAAAAGTTTGTGGTAATAAGAATATTCGACAGTATTTCTAAACTTCAGCTGGTTACTAAGTAAATATCCAATAACTTCATACAGTTAAGATTGCTTTTAGATTAACTGTGATCTCCCTCAAAAGATTCCACTTAAGGTTCCAGCTTCCATCTTTTATGAACAAGTAGATTCTGTAGTATGCTTTCCAGTACAAGTAAGTAGTAAGTAAGTAGTGTGCTTTCCAGTACAAAAGGGAACAAAATGTGACCTTGGCAAGGTATAGTCAGTTTATAATTACATTCTATTACAATAAAGTGAAATGAGGCCATTGTTTCAGTTGGAAGCCCAACACGTGGAGTTCCCAACCCTTTTACTTCATGGAATGGTCAATAAGCAACTCTCCCTAACACACTAGCAATACATCAATATTCTCACAAATATATCAAAAAAACTGTATGAAAGGCATTTAGAAAAATAATATTGAGATCTTAGGGGGTGAAATGGGTAGATAGGGGCACATAGTATACAAGTTAAAATATTGTTTTCTGAAATTCATCTGTGAACAGGTAGATTCATAATTACAAATGAAATATTCTTCAGATTTAAAGACTGCAACTACAGAGAGTCTGTGTATGCATGCATTAGCCTAAATATTACACAGCATCATTCAACGTTCCAAATTTCAGATTCTGTTACATGTACTTCAAAGCCTTGAAAAATAAAATGAATGAGCATTGCGACAAGGAGCCTTTAACAAAAGACTTCATACATACAGTGTATTAAAAGAACAATTATAGGAAAGAACCTAAATTGACCAGAGATTAAGACTGTCTCAAAAAAATTACTCAGAAAGTTGTCAATTGCAGTCTGTACCGAACTCCAAAAACAATACTAAACAAAATAAATTGGAACAAAATATCTAGGTTTAGAGAAATGAATGTGGTTATAACCTATCCACATCTTTCTGAGGCCTGGCAATATATTAACTTTGACCTTTGCAGCCTATGCTAGGTATTGAGATTCCACTAACTGAAACCCTGACATTCTTAAAACCTTACAACAAGTATGTATGTAGAGAGAGTCTCAAACAAAAAATGACAATAAAGAGAGAGAGAGTTTGTTCTTGAAAGAGTTGAATGTCTATACCCACTTACATCTTCCTGGAGCCTGGCAATATATGGATTTTGACATTTGCAGCTTGTGCTAGGCATTGAGATTCCACTTACTGAAAAACTTGACATTTTTAAAACCTTACAACCAGTATGTATGAGAGATAACTGATTTTTGACTGATATAACAAAGACAGTTACTTCTTATGGCCCCTCTCAATTAAGCTCTGAAAGCTTCAGTCACCATTCAGTTCTGCTAATGCCATAATTTTTTGATGTTGTTCAGTTAAGAAGCAGATACTCTCCAACTTGGCTATAGTTGTTTTGCATTCCTTTGACTTTGAATGTCAAGTGTGCCAGAGAAAAGAGAAAACTAAATCCCTGCTCGAATACAGACACAATCCTCTGGTGGTTACAGCCGACAACCGAAATGGGTCTGGCCTCCAGGTTTGAGACCTATTTAACGGCTCAGTGCATGTATCAAATAAAAAAAAAAGTAGGAACCATAAAGCATAAAAATAAAAACGATACGAGCATATCATTGCCGAGGTACCAAAGGGTAAGACCGAAGTATGGGCAATCTGCACTGCACCTCTCCTCGGGACGCAAAAATAAACAAGCACTGAGAGGAGCGCACAAAACTCTCCACCCAGCTGGGATTGCCTTCTCTGGGCTGACTGCATGAGGTTTGAATCCTCACAAGGGACTCAAATTCTAATGTTTTTCTTTCACTATCCTACACAAGATACCATTAGCTCTCTGTGATCCAACTTGTCCATTGGAAGTGAAATGTCTTCTTCTGAAACATGATCCTCAAGCTGAAAAAGAAGAGTGCTTGAAGTAAATGACGTGTGCTTATAACCCAGTGGCAGATCTAGGGGAGGGCCCCCTCCCTTATTTTGGGTAATGAAATAAATGCAGAGGGAAGAAAAGCCAGCACAAAAATACATGTACAAAACAGTTGGTTTCGCCCAGTGACCAAAAAGCAGTCACTTGTAAGCTGTACCATGCATTAAGATTACATATTTTGAAAAAGACCTGACAGGCTGAAACCTACTTTCAACTGAAACAATTGTAGCACAAGAAAATTGTGGTAACAACTGACTAGTCTACATATGAACAGTTGTTCAGTTTGGGACTGTACCAAGTGATGAGAGCCTATGTTATTGGAAGATTTTGTCATGTCTATACCCACTTTCAAAGGAAACAACAATATCACAAAGTTAAAAAATGTAAATGTAACAGAAATGTGGTCACTTGTAATGATCCAGGAGCATTAAGATCTGACTAAAACTCTGTCACTCACAACCCAAACCTTGCAGAAAGATTCCACATTTTTAAAAACCTGACATACTCAAACCTACTTTCAGTTTAGAAGCCATACATTCAAATACATGAAAATTGTGTGTAAAGCCTGTCTTGTCTACTTATGTATAATTTGTCAAAAATTTTTTTTGACACTTGTCTCTGGAGCCTGAACCAAGCATTGATACTCTATATTCTTTATATATCCTTAAGCATATCTTATTTTACCTTGGACGAGTAAATGTTTATCAGAAAGCCAAAAATGCTTAGTAAAAAATAATGTGGTCACTCACAATGATCCAGGAGCATTAAGATGACTAAAAACCTCTCACTTGTAATCTGCAACTTGTGTGGAATTTCCACAATTTTGAAAAAACCTGACATTCAAGAAGCTACAACTCATGGCCAAAGTACTTAGCACCCTGCTCTCCCCTTACTTGGTGGTTGACAACCTTACACTTAACAAACTAAAAAGTAAATCTTGAAATAAACTCCTTAATAAGTTTCTTGCAAGTCCCACCCCCCAAAACAATGTTGCCTGAAACTCTGAAACTAGTCACCATTTTGCAACACCAGGCAGATTCAGCATATTTGATTGATATTACTCATCACAACCTAAAAAATAGTCAACCAGACCAGCTATTATAAGGGAGATGACAATCAGTTAAGAATTAGGACATACTTTAATCCCTAATTGCAATGCAAATTTTTCCTTTTGCCAAACTTTCAAAAGTGTCCTTGATGTTTATGTTCTTAACAAGTATCATGTATGATTACTTAAAAGTTTTAAATTCAAAATACAATCAAGGAATGAAGCTTACATTCCTTAAATGGCACTGACATGAGGTTTTTAATGACCATACTCCAGTATTCATGCAAGCTCAATGCCACAACTGCTCTTTAGGTACCCCATATCTATCAAGGCCTCCTGACTAAAATGTCTTTACCCTAATAAGCCCACTCCTCTCTCCTCCCACTAAACAAAAATTCTACAGTATTGGTTGTATTGTTATTGATTTGACTGTATTAAATTGAGCTTATCTTGTTATTCATTCCTTTCTAGTCAAAATAGAAATGTATATATCCTCCACTGTTGAAAAGTAACCCGCTATTTCAAAAAAGTCCATTACCTCCCACCCCTGCCCCTACTTATTTGTCCTCGACTGAGTTCTGTTTGCATGCCATACATACAAGCTTTTTTTATCACAAGCTTACTATCGTAATTGTTCTAATCACACTTAAAAGACAACAATTCACAATTGTATAAAGCGTCGATCACATATCATTACACAACAAAATCACTTTCTTGCACAAGAAATATCATCGAATTAATTAACGTCGATGCCGTGACTTGCCGCTTAGATAAATTTCCTTTGTTACAAGATATCCTTTACCTTCATTCGGCTAGATTTTCAGATATATGAACAACTCACCTTGATGAAATTTAGGTATCGGTACAAAGCTGTTTGCTTGAACAAGTGAAGATCGAACGTGTAGTAGAAGTTTTCCCGCCACAAAAGGCCTCCGTGTTTCCTTGCTTCCAATTACACTTGAGTCTTCTTTCGTACTCGCCAGCGTTAGCTAGGCCCAGTACACTCGGTACAGTGTATATCACAACGAGGCACAATATCAACAGGAGGTCCTTCCAGGTTTGGTATAGGATAATCGCGCGCTTTTTTGAATCTCAATTCCGTTGACGACTCTGTTAACAAAGCATCCGAACGAAGCGATTGTTGTCTGGTTATTTTACAGTTAATTCAGGGTTAGGGAAAGTAAGCGAAGGAAATGGCAGAAAGACGAGTAAACGATCGCGGACAAAATCAAGATGATAATGCGGTTCCAGCGGCAATTAGAAATAGTAACATGTCCGAAGAATGCATCGTACTGCTGGAGGAATTGATCCGCAGCAACCGGGCTCTGGCGAGCGAAAATGAAAAGCTGCGGCAGCAGCAAGAGCGCAGCAACAAATCAAACTTAGAGGCTCTTCAGCGGATTGAGAACCGTCTTGAAACTGGTGATAATGGAGCCAAAGTCCGTCGGCGCCAAAATAGACAGAAGCGAAGGACGATAGTAGTTCCACCAGCTTGTCGAGTGAGTAGAAAAACGTAACTGATGAGCATAAATAATGTGATATATGTTCATGATTTGCTGAATTCAGTTCTGTTTCGTGGAAGATTTGCTTTTATGTTGAGTACGTGTTTGGTGCGCAAATTATATGCATAACTCAATTATTTAGGCGGTAATCATTTGGCATAATTATGTGTGGTTACATTTACTTGATAATAACCTTTACCATAAACAGGTCTACCAGAAAGGTTTTTTCCTCCCTGTTCTTTCAACGAGAATAATCCAGTACGAAAATTCATGTTATTATCTTTTCTCTTGAACCCTTTTGACTTTCCCTGTTTTAATCACACAGATGGGTAAGGTTAATTGTACTTGTGTAAAAAGCGTGGAAGTAGAAATAGGGGAAAGGTGACAAATTGATTGTTGAAATTATTTCAATCTTTTAGAGAGCCGTGAGAAGGATATATAGACTTCTTTTAAAAAAAGACGACTTTGGTGGAATTTATCTTGACGAAGAGTGAGTAACATGTTATTATATTCAAAGATATTTTACTTTATATTGATTAAACCGTGAAATCAGAGTCTAAGCATGTGAATACCTTATTGTTGTTGCTTTTGTCTAAGTGTTAATACTGTTAAAACAGAATACTTGGCTTAATCACGGTGTTTGTTCTTGTCTCAGAGTAAATTCTGATAACAACTATGGAATTTTTGAGCGCACAGTAGAGCAGGTTGTACATCAACAGGGAGGACCTGAAAAGTGTCCCTGGACAAAGGATATCATTGAAGGTAGCTATCAATAATCATAGCACATGCATTTCACTTTCATTGGGGTGTCATTATGATTTTTTTGCAGGTGGGCATAAGAATTTGGCACTTAAGCGTATTGATGTATATCTCTTTTATAACAAGTTGAGTTTCACTGAAGGCCTTGGCTTAAAAACATCCAGACAAAATCGTGCTCACAATTGGTCAATTTGTCTATAGCCCAGTCCTTAAAGATACCCCTGCTTTTAGTCTGTACCATCAGTTAGTGTCTTTAACCACTTTTCCCTCAACAAAAATTTCATCATAGAACTAGCATTCAGTAACACAGTTAGATATCATGCAACTTCTAATGAGCACCCTCATTATATGTTTCAAATTTAGGACAAGAGGAAGGGTATATTTTTAATTTTTTCCCAATTTGCATAATAACTTTCTCAAATGTTGCAGAAATTTAAAATGTTGCAAACTAGAACTTTCAGGTTAATTTCTTGTCTCTGAAACATTAAGTTCAGTGTAAATCCTCAACAAAGCTTACTTCACACCTTAGCAATGAATCACCAAGGACATACTGCAAATTTATATAACTTGGCAAATATTCCTATGCGGCCAGCCATAAATGATTATAAATTTGAACATTGTCATTTATTTATATGGGAATCTTTTTATAATCAACTTCTCATGGCATTTTGATAATTATTTCTTTGAACAGCTGCTTTACAAAGATATTTTAAAACGTGCCTAGAAACACATAAGCTGAAGAGCAGTAATCGCTATGAGGCACATAAACAAAAAACAAGAAAGAGTGGTCGCCAAAGAGAGGTATTTATTGGGATACTATTTTAACATTTTACTTTTCATATACCCTGCTGTTCACAAACGACAGGGTCTGACAGATGTTCAGTGTTACCAGTGCACCATTGAGTACATTGATCAATAGGAGGGAAGATGTTTCCCACTGAATGCATTTTTTTTGCCACTTCAAAATTGGATGGCTTTGCATATAGACACTTTTAAGGGACTGTGTCCTGTCAAAATTGTTTTGTGCCTATGAGAGCAATTGTTAAATGAATTATGTATTCTGGTCTGTATCTAGAGCCTCCCTTACAAAGAAAATCTTTGTAAAGTAAATTTGGTAATTGTATAATATTATTTTAAAGATGGATCTGTAGTTGAGGAAAAGAATGAAAAATATCAAGATGTGATTTGAGATCAATGATAGCTTGTATGGACCATTTGATGAAAAATAAAGGACAAGGAGACTCTATAGTATAACATGCTTAAGAATTCCATTCTTACACTGTGTGCACATGCACATCAAGAGAAATTAGTAATTTGGATCATATTTTCCATTTGAGGTCTTATAATACCCCTCTCATGCTTGTTGTATATTTTTGTTTTTTCAGAAGTTAATGAGACGAACTACAGCCCTGGAGCTGGTCAACTGGGCTGACCAGCATGAAAAGGGGAGAGTGGCGGAGGTTCTTGTGATGGAGGCGATGAGCAGTGAAGAAAGCTGTTACGAGGATAATGATATAAATAACTCAAAATTAACAAAATACTCTGTCCATCGCCTTCAATGGGAGAGTAGAAGAATGAAAAAATTTAAAAAAAACTTGATAAGGCCTATAAGAAAAAACTCACTTCAAGAGCTAAGGAGAGAATACTACCCAGAGTTGATGGGCAACCTTCTCTGAGATGCCCACCAACTGAAAATTTTCCGGGGTGGGCAACAAGGCAGTAAAAAAAATTGTTTTATCAATTTAAAAATGTATAATATATCCAGATCATAAAGTATTAATCAGCCATGTCTAGAATGAAGGTCTTTTAACATGCCTGCGTGAGACTTCTTTTTCATTGAATATGTTAATTAGCAATTTTAATGGTCTCATTATCTAAAGTAAGTAATTGTGAATTCTTCAATTTTATACTTAATTTCCTCCATATGAGATACTTTTTTCCATATTGATGTACAGGTTGGCAAATAATTGATAGCTATCGCAAATTTAAATTGATTTAGAAAAATATACTGATTTTTTAGATTGATAGGTTGAACTTATTTTTTATTGTTAGTATCAGTTCAAATTGCATTTCTTAGTGGCTGGATTTGAGAGTGAAATTTGTGAATTAATAGCTTTTTGTGTAGTGTGTTGCTACAGCTAGTTATAGTCTGTAGTTCTTATATTTTTATAGTGATAAAGATTCTATTCTATTCTATATAGATGACTGAGATTATATGAATTATACATTAATGAAAGAGAAACAATCTTAATAAAGTATGAAAATTAGTAATTCAAACATTTTGATGTCTCTTTTTTAATTATGTATGTGCCTCAAATGAGATATCCTCAGCTTTTTGTGGGTTTACTCTATCTCAGGGGAGGAAGTGAGTTTTGAACGAAACTATTTCATCACTGCAATTTCAAACATTCTGTAATTGCTTGTATGTGTGATGTCTCTTTCTAACAATTTAGAAGTTTCCCAAAATATTATAAGTTATGATGATATAAATATGGGTGTGATTAAGCAAATCAAAAGTCAATTTAAGGTGAAACCTACAGCTTTTAGAGGCACTTAAAGGTCACTAAATGATGAATTTTAACAAAACTTGAAATTTAAGAGGACCTGAAAGTACAACTAAAGATGAATTACAACAAAACCTGCAACTTTAAGTAGTACTTAAAGGGAAACAAAAGATTAAAGAAACCTTTAAGTTGCCTTTACAAGTAGAAGTTTTGGCAATTAAAGACGAGTTTACGAGAATTAGGAGGATTCTTAAAGTCAATTAAATGGTTATTTAGGTTTACTTTCATGTGATCCTAAAGTGTTCATGAAATGGTTCATAAGGAGACTTTAATTGACTTCTGAAAGTTCAATTAAAGATTCATTTCAGAACTTTCGTATGTCACCTAAAGATGTCTTAAATACTTCTAATGTTAACCTTTAAGTTACCTTTAAGGAAACTTAATTTAGTCATTTCATCCTGTGAGACTTACCTGACTGGTTGGTGCCGCTCACCGGGTCTTTGAAATTGGGAGCACAGAAGGGGTTGTAATCATCTATTTTCAAGTAATCGCAGAGTCCTTCACACGCTGCTCTAGCCGCCGTATTGCAGTCCTCTTTCGCTTTGGCGTAGGGTCTTCAAAGATTAGACATTGAGGTTATAGTAGGTGGTAGCTTGGTAATGAGTGTAGTTTGTTGTAGTTACGTTCGACCTTTTTGAGAAGATCCTTTTTCGATAATATATATTATCATATCATGTATCAGGTTTGGAAAGCGCTAGCAAACCTTCTCACTAGTATGGGGTTAGACTCACACCCCTTAATCATTGAGGTTGGGAATCTCCTTGCTTGCTATGATAGGCTGCATGAGTAAACGAGGAGATTCTAAACATATCTTCAATCTTTCTCATTGCTTTGCTGATTTCTGATCATTTAGGTTTGATCAGCTGGGTGGCGCGGTCGCGGAAGGTTCTCTAGGTCCGGAGTTAAACGAATCGACTCTGAGACCAAGGTTTCGGAGGTTTATGGAGGTTTCACCCCATTGCAAGTTCGCCCCTTACCAATTTTGCAAGTTCGCCGCATGAAGTGAAGAGAGTTCGCCTCCCACCTTTGCCAGTTCGTCCCTGACTCTTTCATTTCGTATGAATACGGCAAACCTTATTCTTTCGCTATGGAAATCGTTATTTCTTTTAAAGATATTGTAGTGAATTGGTTTAGGTGTGCTCAAACTTGTTATCCCTAAGGGGGGCGATCTTGCTGAGGTGGTAGGGGTAAACTCAGTTGCAGTCTACGGTGACAATCCTACTTACCTGCATGCATTAGTAACGTTATTCCTTGATTGACTTAACACAGAATGGAATTCTCTCCAGCACTCGTAAGCTTTCTTCAGACGTTCTGGTGCGCATTTGGTGATGAGCCACAAGAATGGGCCAATATTACCGGTATTGACTTCTTCGTCCCCACAATTGTACGCATACAAGAGCATGAAATCGGTGATTTGATCCGCCATGTCTTTCAGAACACTGTCGTCTTTTACGCAACGATCCACGTGTTTACGAAGGCATATTTGCAGTTCACTGCGGCCAAGGCTAAGGAACAAAATAATGAAATACGTCATTTAGCGTAACAAATGAGATCTATAGGTACCTTTGCCACACACGTTCTTTAAACCTGGCTCAGGAAGGGCTAATAATATGATTCAAGTGGGAAATTGTGCTAGAGAAGACACTTCTTAACTGTACCACTGGTTTAAAAACGAGGAAAAAGAGAAAAATCCGTAATTCGTCGCACATGGAGACAGCTACGTAAAAACTGTAGAGGCAAAACCGCAATAAAAGAGTAAACAATCAGTGCCTGATTAAAATTTTTGCATTAAAGTGGATCTCACCTGCAAGACATAAAGGGCTTCTGCTTCAGTTCTATCATCATTGCCCGTTGACAGGCTAGCCCTCCATTAGTAAAACTTCCTAAAGAACATTTTCCGATGTTCACGCCTTCTGTTTGAATCTGTAGAACTAAAAGTGAAAAAATATAAGGTAAGTTCTAATCAATTAATCAAAGATCAGCGGTATATCGTCCCCGTTGTCTCCGAAAACAATAACGAGACGATATCGGTATGATAACAAAGAAACTCTGTCCAGAAGATTGTTGACAGCAGCGACGATCGGCATTAACTCAAATTTAATCGAGTCACGATCGCCGCAGTCGAATAGGTCGTTAGTAATCATTCATTTTGGTTTCCGTTACAATTATTCTGGAATGTGTCAGACAGCTCGGACGATCCGAACGATAATATGGAGCTTTTTTTCATCTCTGGGTGAAATCAATTCGTTAAGGTAAAGGTGTTATTGAAAAATTTCCTTTTGGACGCCTTGAGCAAGATAAAGACAAACCTACAAAAACAAATCAAACAAGCGAACAACAGGCTCAGTGAACATTGTTAAATAATCCAACGATCTTGTTTTGGGAATTATTCAACAATTTTAGCCTTCGGTGGATAATTTTTAAATATATTTCTTTAAGATAAATTTAAGGAAATCATAAGGAAATCATAGAACAAGGATGATTACGCAAGCTACTGGATGATTCTGAACTCGCAATTTTATGTAGCTGGAGCACTAAGTCAAGTTAGTGGTCTAATTTTTTTCAATGATAACACTTTCAGGTCCATTTGGCAACAGGTAAACGTCGTAAAGACGTTTTTGTCGTGTTAACAATATGCAGAATGACTTTTGATTTAAGCGAAGCGTTTGACGGAGAATTTGCCCAACTCTTATTTCAATCTAACATTCTAATCCAATCCCAAAAAGGACCTGGAAGAAATATGGATATCGTGATATGCTTGCGCAGGTGATTGATCGATCTAGATTTTTCAACTCGCGTGTTTATCGGTCATGTAGCCCCAGTATGCAGATGTTGACGCTTCAAGCACGCGAGTAGTGTTTCAGAGTGATCTCTTTAGCTTTAAATCGAACACAGGTATTATCTGTAGCAGCATGATTCCAAGATAGGGTTATCATATAAAACTATTGGCTGAAATGTTTTTTTCTTAGAATCGCTTGAAAGCGAAAGACTTTCATCAATGCAACTTTAATCGAATTACCACGCACTCCTTCGACCGATGATAAAACTGCAAGTAGACCCTAATTTTATCAACTTGGCACGATTATAATAAAGATAAACAGCTTTCTTCGTAATTACAAAAACTTTCTAACATGAGATAACTACATTCTGCCATAGTTTGTATTTCACTTGGCTTGCTAGGGACTTTCTTTGAAGCTTACTCAAAATATCTGTGAAATAATGTACCCACCTGCCATTATAAACACGAAAGAAGTTCCTTTGAAAGGGTCATTCATCCTCTTGGAAATTTGGGTCTACAAATTTTGAAACTACTCAGGAACTTAAACTCCCTCACGTTCGAAAGTAATTAAAAATATTCTGAAATATGCTTACAACGTCATTTGGTGATAAGTAATGTATGCATAATTGTTTAGAAAATAACAGCATTAATTTCAAAGAGGGAACACAAATAATTTCCATAATATCTGCAGGGGTCGTTCTAGAAGCTGTACGATTACGTGTTTCTCAGTTGTCCCAGTCAGATGTCCATTATTGGAAGCAAATTCAGGGTAAAAGTTTGCACGAGGTCTCAGAAACTAAGTATCTTAAATGATTTTCAGTCAGGTTTATCAACAGGAATACCTAATTTATATCACATTTCTGCTTGGATATGTGTTCCGGTTGGACGGGTTTGAAGTCGAGGCAGATTTCTAACAGTAGACACTCCTTGTTACGTCAATTTCCCAGCGCAATCAGCGCCGTCCTTCCACATACGTCGTTTATCTATAGTTTCCCAGGACTGACTAGCAGAAATAATTTTAACTGACACCATGGTGTATTAGTGTATTTTATGAAGAGTTGGCAAGGTGCCACAATGAACCAACGTTTTTCGAAAGACTGTTCTAGAATGTTTTAGTAAACATTTTGCTTTAGATGCTCTTGACCTGTTTATCAATGGACATAACAACCAAACAGTGATGCACTCAACTGGCATTACCGCATTGTGAATGATCAATCGTTTGTCAAACTTAATAACGTCATATCTAAGCTCAGCAACACAGGTCACCCATGACTAAACTTCGATCCTTATAAATTAAGAAAGGGACTACATAGGAATAGATAAAAAGTTTTTGCAGTACGTTCTACGGGGATGTTCCGCCCAAATGAGGAGCCATTTTTCCCCGGTAACACTGAATATCCAGCTACAATGGAAAGCAGAACTCACGCACTCTGTTTTAGAGATAAACACAGTAACTGAACCGTGAATCAATCAACTACTCTAGTGGTCTACATAGTTTATCATCAGTCATGTGTCAAACTCCGATCTCGCTTACAACACAGGCTGCCCAGTACCTTCACGAGAGCCCACGAATTCCATTAAAGAAAGTGCATGGGAATAAAAAAAAATCCAAATCAGTTCTTTCAAAGATAAGAAATACGAAATGAGAAAACGTGAGTTTGTGTGGTGTCTTTGAAGGCTATTGCCTATCAAACTGACTTTATTAAAAATACTAGGAAAGATTGAAGTGATCACCCTTTAAACGCTAAAGAATAAGGATGAAAAGATATATTTCACTGAAAAAAAGAGTTTGAGTTTCATTTAAGATTGTATTAAATGGGCGAATATAAATACATATTATCCCGGCTGAGATTTGCGACAAGAACCGAGAACAGAAAACAAATTATGCATGGAGCGTCAAAGGAAAACAATCAAACAACCAGAGATCAAACGATATACAAACGAAACTGAAATAGTAAAGCAGTTTTTGACCATGAAAATAAGTTTCTTAACGATTATTTTTGTCGTCATTGTTTTTTGTCCTAATATTTTTCACACTTTTCTCTTCTTTTATTTACCCGTTTGTTTTGTTTTGATTTGTTCGTTTGTTTTGTTTTGATTTGTTCGCTAGCTTTCTTATTTGCTTCCTTAGTTGACAATAGTTACATTTGTGCTTAAGGTCTGGCTCTCCCCACTACCATTTCCCATTACCATTAGCGTGCATCATACAATTTAAAGTGTCTGGTTAGGGAGAAATCTTGATCTCAAGGTCCAACTAAAAACGCGATGCTGGTAATGAACAGAAATAGTATAGTCCCTTGACCACCATTCACTCCACTCCTTAATGGATCTTTACCATTTTCACAAAAAGGGTTATCGTCACCAAACATGGTCGCCTTTAATGAGCTTTGGTCAAAATTACAACTTTCCTCGTGTGCTCTGTTGAGACACTTCTTGGCATCTGCAAAAGAGCTGAAAAGTAGAAGAAATATTTCCGTTACTACAGAGGGATATCAAGAAAAATCTAAAATAAATCCAGCCCATTTCTCCCCCCAACTTAGAAATCAAATGGATGGTTGTAACCAAACCAAGAAAGAATTATCGGTGGGGTGACACGAGAATAAACAGAAAGGAGATACCTTTGAAAGGGGACAAATGCTACCGGGGTTGATCCCGGTTTCTTCACCATTTTGAAGTGTTACCAATCTTCTTTTAAAAGGAACGCCTGTTCATCACAGACACTCTTCTCCTCACCCGCCCCCGACATCACCTTATGAGGGCTGACGAAACTCGCCAGATAATCGCTATCTTGTTGCGAGATTTCTACAAAACAAACTATTATCCACCGGAACCCAGCAGATAGTGATTCATTCCCTAGACAGCGTGACTCACTTGTTGTGAGTACCCAGTTGCATAAGAACATAAATCAAATGAAATTGAAGTGTAACCATATCGATACTTCAGCGTATCATATACTCACGAGCAAACTTCTTGGGACTTTTTCTTCACCGAATTTTCATATATGCTTCTGAAAGGCTCCGCACATTTCTCAGCAGCGGTGAAAAACGCCGGCTTACAATCACCTGTCTTAACGCTTTCATGAAGTGCGGCCTTGTCCAGAGTCACTTTGCCACAAAAGAACTGCTCCACCATCAGAGTTGCTCGAAGAGTCTTCACACTGTCCTCAAAAACTTTATCATCTCGCATGGAAGAGCACTGCGTAACCAACTTCTCTCTCAAGCAATTCTTATTTTTCAAAAGGACCGTGCTACAGGTAAATATATTTAGTGAGTAACTTTTAATTGCATTCTACAAACTACAGGGGCAGGGTATTTGATCCCGGAAAGTAACACTGCTTTGCTTGCCTTAGTCAACAGTCGTGCACGTATTAGCAGAGGATTAGATTGCTAGACTGAAAAAAAAACTAAATGAGGGGTAAAAAAATTACTAAGCGATTAGTAATTCCTGTATAGAAAGTATACAATTACCAGATAGCTCTTTCAAAGGTCGTCTGTACCGTAATATTATACAGGTCAAAGAAAATTAATGATCTGACTTTGCACCTTGTAAAGAAGATGGAGTTTTTGTATTCATGATTTTAAGTCAAACGTACATCCAAATTGGATTCTGTCATCATTTGGATTATCTAAGTACTAACCACTGCGCAATCACTGGTGTTATGGTGTGCTGCCCCTTTTTCAGTAGCAATACTTTTCCTTTACTTCATTTACCAAGGTAGTCTATGCTTTGAAATCATGATTTATGAGTTTCGCAGTTCACTAGCGTAAGAGTATATCATACGTCTGGCGCTAAACTTACTATAGTACACGTTCGCCCTGGTTGTATTGTTGTAACAGGAACCTGTCCTGACGCTCTTACCTGCAATTGTTCCCGGAAGCAAAGTCTTTAAAGCTCTCTGTATCACACCTCATCGCATTATCGTAAACTACATTATTTGGGCAGAGGTGGGGGAGAGGATTACAGTCTGAAAACAGGAAAAAAAATGTTGATATAGAGAAAATGGAGACGGCATACTCAGTTGTACGTTACCAAAGTTGGACAAGAACACCAACTTATTTGATGATATTTTGTTATGGAAACAAGTGTGGATGACTCGCACGAAACGTCTACCAGCAATTTTAATTTTTAAAAAAATTTATTCATCATTAAACAGTTTAAATGATATCGAACGAAGGATCCAAACGCCAATTATGAAACTGGTAAAGACGTGACCCCAATGCAGAAAGGAAGACACATTATTGGTATGAGCTTTTCATATAAGAGAACCTTTTTTCTTGTTGGATGTGGTCATAGTAAACTATTGAGAGGAAGAAAAAAATTTAAACGGCATAAAATGTTTACCAAACAAAGTAGTCTGTGTTGGAGGGTCCATTCCGTCGGCACAGAATGGATTATAGTCGTCTTTGGTGATGTATTGGCAGATATCTTTACACGATTCTCTTGCCATGTTGGTGCATTTTTGTTTCCCTTCCGCATATTTACTATGTTTGAAAAAATAGGTGATGATACACAATGAGCGGCCTAGCAGTCAATTGGAAACACAATTTTACAGACTCGCTAAGGAATCAGTCAATCAGTGAATGAATTAGACAATGAATCAATGAATCATAAGTCAATCATAAATCAATTAATCAACTAGTCAAGTCAAGTACTCAATTAATTGGTCAATCAATCAAAAGAACCAACTAACCAATTTTTTTGCAAATGAATGAATTAATATATCATTTAATCAATCATCAATCAGTCTGTTAATCAATCAGTTAATCAACTAGTCATGTCAATTACTCAATTAATCAGTCAACCAATCAAAACACCAAATTGACCGGTTAATTCGTAAATGAATGATTGAATCAATCAATTAACCAATTCTCAATCAATCAATCACTTAATCAAACCGACTACTCAATTAATAAATCAATAATTCAAGTAATCAATCAAAAAAATAAAAAAATGAGAAGTCAGTCAATCAATCCATTAATCCACCAATCCATTAATCAATCTTTCAAGAGTAAATAAAAGGCTATAGAAAGTAGTTTTTTTTTTTCAGTAATGCTCACTTGTCGATGATCATAGAAATTTTTATCTGCGGTGGTAACCTACCTGCATAATGAGGAATCGTTCCTGCTTGCGTTAAAAGTAGTACGGAAATCATCCCAGCAGCCAACCATCCCTTCCAGTTTTCCTGCATCGCAATCGACTTGACCGAGGATTAAGGGGTTTATTCTTGACACCTCAAAACTCAGCTTTCCGCAGTGATAAACTAACAGTTCAAGCAGCTTCACTATCTCACCTTTAAACGCGTTTAACAGCGGAACACCATCCACGCAACTACTGACATGACCATTCAAACAGATAGATTGCTTTTCGTATTCAAAGCTGCCAAGAAAACAAGCGTAACAAGCAAAAACATCAAACAAAGGAATTAAATCAGTAAATGTTTTTAATTTTTGATAGTGACACGCTTTTCCAATAACATTTTCTTTTTTTTCTGATCAAGTTTTATTTTGCAGCTTCCAAATTCCACGACCATAAAGGAAATGACTTGTAGTGGTAAACACATTGAAATTGATAATAAAAGAGAGGCCATTTTCGCTGAAGCTATAATCAAACCTCCAAACCTGCAATTCAAGCTGGTGTTGTTTTTCAAGTTTGATATCAGAGTCCTCTGGCATTGCTGTCCTCCCTTCGTGAAAGTGGTCAGATTGCATTTCCCGATATCTTGGCCAACAGCCTGTCTAAGTAACACTGTGGGGAAAACATTTTAGAGAACTCAGTTAAATTGGGGGGACTTAGCAGAGATCAGGGCCGAAAAAAGTACAATTCAGCAAAAGAGAAACGCGCTGGACACATCAAAAGAAAAAAGACCACGAAGGTCATGGCTTGGTAATAGTCCTCGCTCACCGTATGATCTCGGTGGCTCTGTGACTCAAAGGAATTCCGAAGGCCTGAAGTTTGATTCCTCATGGGAACACGCTTTGTTCCACGCTCGTTACAAGACGAAAAAAATTTTGCTCTATTTCTCCAAAAACATTTTTGATCGTGATGCTGACTAGCTAAAAAGGAGAAAGCAACCTCGTGAGCGTGAGCGTGCTTTAAGTTGCAGTTTATCACACTTTGAAATAAATTCGCACATTCCAATCGTGTCAAATAATTCTGGGATAAAGGTGTTTTGCTTTGCCTTTCCCTACTTTTGATGGTTTGTCTAACCGTTTTGCTTCAGCATGGTTATGTTTTTCTCGGTATTGTTTTTCATGTTGTTTTTGTATTTTTTTTTTTTTTCCGTGTGTTGCTGTTGACTTTACTTTTTTTCTCTTACTTCTCTCTTTGTGCCTCTGCTTTTATTCGGTTCTTTTGGTTGCCAGTGTGTTTGTTGGCTTTTGTTACTCTCGCTTTTGGATTGGCGTTGTGAAATGTTTCCACGAAAAAATTGATTTCCTAGATTTATTATGAATTTAATTGTGTATTAAGTGAGTTGTAATTTCGTTATCGTTAAAGTACATTCAACGTTATAATTAGAAGTAGCATGTAATTGGGAGCGGCATAGGGTAATCAAATGAGTTCTGCGAGCAGTGATGTATGAAATTAGGCATTTGCAGGGAGTTTAAGCGCGTAGGAACTTAGCAGCATGATTGTCGAAAAAAAACCATGTTTAAAAGGAAATTAGTGCCCACGAATCGTTGTAAAATGTGAGTGAATCTTGATATCCCACACGGAATTACGTATCTGGGTGTGGATTTCCTCAGCTAATAAATGTAACATTTTTGTAACCCTAGGATAAGATTGTAATAAAGTAGATAGATCGCAGAACGGAACGTGCAATGCTGAATTGTCGTCAATAAAGCCTGAATCAAAAGAAAGTATACAGTCCAAGATTACCGAACCAGCGCGTGCGGAATTCTCAGCAACACAAGTGGGAAATTCTGCGAAACTGGTTTAGAAATCCGCGCGTTCGAAAAGTTCTCTGACAGAAAACAACATGCTTATGAAATTTCATAAATGTGGTTTTCAGTCAATTATTCGTAAGCTAATCCTTATTCGCTCCATTTGCTTTAGTCTCCTTGTTATGAACTGTTAAAATAACCCAGTCATGCATATTTGTGTAGGCAATATAACTCATTGAAAACAATGCAGCGAAGAAGAAAGAGCAGTCGAATATGAAAATATGAATAGGTTAACTTCAATTAAGCAGGGCATGCGTCAATTTAATATTAGGTAAAATTTCCGCACAGCCCCATACTATTGTTAAAAAAATCTGCTTTCCCAATATCCATGTATTGTTTTTGTCGTTGTTTTCTCTATCCAAAAACTGAATGCATAATGTGGTATGGGGCTGTGCGGAGACTTTACCTTTTTCGGTCATGTTATCTGACAAATACAGTTGCTTCTTCTCACAATGGAAATCTTGTTGGAAAGAAACGACTGCTCCCTTGTTCTTTGCGGCATACAAGAACTAACAATCTGCGTTTGTACAAGGACCAAAAGTCAGCATCGTTCTAATTACCGATTTCGACCAAACTTTACATTTCTAAAGCGCAAACGAATTCGATATCCTCGATGACGACGCAATTTATTATACGTCTTCGACTGAGTCTGAAAACTTTCGATAGTAAAATTTCCGCAAAGCCCAATACTATTGTTAAACAAATCTGTTTTCCCGATAGCCATGTATTGTTTTTGTCGTTTTTTGTATCCAAGAACTGAATGCATAATGTGGTATGGGCTGTGCGGATATTTCACCCTTTCACTCTCGCTTTGACCCTTGGAATGGACAAATGGCTGCAAGAGATCTGATCGACAGGAATCTCGATGTTTATCATACTCACCTGCTACAAATATAATGTGGATGCACATAACACCTTTGCAGCGCATGATATCATTCGATATACGACTTCAAGGGAAGCAAACTATAAGAAGTAGAGGTTTACTAAGACAGAGTAATCACTAACTGTGAAATAGAACTAACAGCACTCAATCTTCAAGTTTTGGTACGAATTATGCAAATATTGTATCCTTGCGGTAATTTAAAAAATGGAAATTTTTCATCACAATCGAGGGTAAACCAATGAGATCGAAGTCATCGTATATACAAACTTTTTTGACGAAGACGATCTTGGATAAGGGATGAAAATAAATCATAAAATTTGGACTATTGAGTGGGAATTATTTGACGACAATTTCAATTCTTTGCATTTTCACGACTGAGTCGCAAAGTGACCCATTATGTAATGTTTGCCTTGCATCATTGTTCTTTGGTTGAGTGAATCCATTTTTTAGCGGAGTGTTATTAAGTCAGCATGTGGTCTAGTATCTTCAGGACATAACAAACTCCTCAGCTCATGGCAAGCACGATGATGTATCAACCGACCTTCCCTTTTAACAATCGAACAAAAAGCACATGTACATGAAAATTAGCCGACTTGAGCCTATACTCGCTCTTTCCGCGCCACAGAGCATGAAGATGTGTCAAGTTTGGGGCCGACCATATAAATTGCGTTTAATTACTTGAAAACACAGCTGTTCTTACCTAAAAAAAATAGCCAAAGGGGCTCTCAAGCCTTGAATATAAAGGGACGAAAGTGAACTCTTACGAGTGCTCATTCCCCCTCTGTTCTAAAACTATTAGCTTTTATCAATGTTCATCAGGATTATCGATATTGATTGTTTTTCCTGCATTTCAAATATGTAAAACGAGATGCTTACAAGTCCAGCATAAGTGATGCAGCACGACTCCACACTCCACAATGATCATGTCCCTGTTTTGCATTTTAAGCAGTTTTTCGCTTTACAATCGAATGAGCACTCATCATGGCGGCGATGACATCTCTTAATGTAGCTACGATCAGTTTTCCAGTGATAAGTTCCTTCGCAAGGCTATGATCATATCCGAAAAAAGCGAGGTGGTCGTTTTACGACGTGATTTACGATGAAAGCAATGTTGTTGCTGCAAAGGACTTGGGTTCTTACCGCAAGTTTGGCAAGTGAGTTTGTTAAACAAAGATAAACTTTATGGACAATCCATCCACATACACTGAATATGAAGACAAAATCAACGAAAAAATCCAAATCAATGAATGTCAATGAAGTATGAGGCCGAGCCTCTTTCTTCTTAGAGAGACTAATTGTCGTAGAGAAGAAGAGAAATATCATGATAAGCATCGTGCAAGTTTTTTTACTCATTGAAGTCGCGTGTTTCTAACGTACTCAGCATTGCCAACAACAAATCGATCTAGCAAATATGACGAACTTTCTATTTCATGATCTTGCAGTTCTGCTAGCGTGAAAATGAATGACCTGTTCACTGGACTAGATTTCAAACTCAAACGAGCTCTTATTTAAAACGAGCACTAAAATCTTTTTTTTTTGTCTTCCTTTTATCTAAATAAGAAATTATTTGAGTCATGCAACATATTTATTTTGCAGAATCGATTGTATAAATCGCATTGGCTGTAGCTTATCACGACTCAGTTTTCCCTGATGTGCTTGATAAGTTAGTTAATTCTGGGACAGGAAAACAGCATTCATAACAACAACAACAACATCAAAAACAACATTGTCTCCTTTTGAAATTACCGCCATGGGAAAAAGTCAGCTAATTCTGGATAATTAAAAATTGCCTAATGTTTGAGATGAAATTAGATTTAAACTTCCCTCCTCATTGGAGACTCCTACATCGTATAAAGTAAACTAATCTGTGTTTTTCTTGTATCCTTCCCTCGACAGCTCTTCATGGCTGCGTGGCTGATCCAAAGATTGGTGAATGCAACATGACCTATTTCATAACAGGAGGATTCAGTTGTCAGAGGAAAATGGTGTCTGATTTAAAACACAAACCAAATGCCAACTGCAGGTACTAGTCGATTTTCAACCTCACGAGAAACGTTCGTACTGCACTGGCTGATTTTCTATCAGGACATCGTGAACGGCTCTTATTATTTCCTAGTGGATGATTATTTCAAAGTTTCTGCAGTCTTTTGCAGAATTAAAGCTCCTTTTCTTGGTAATTCATTTTTTGTTCAAAGTCAGCGTAAGTTTTTTTTTTTTTTTATGACAAGTAATATCACACTGCTAAGCTCCGAGTCTCTCCGATAATAAGACACTAATTCGTATTAAGCTTTAAAGAAGCGACCTGACGGTTAAATTCCATTATTCTGGAGAAGAAAATACAATGCAAAAACAAAAAGACAAAAAAAACAAAACAATCATTATCATGCCAATGTAAAGGCTATTGCATTTTGAAATAAACAAAAACACCATTGAGCCAGTTCCTGAGTGCATTCTTACTCATAAAGTGTAGCGGTCTTAGTCTGGAATCTTACGTTAACCTTATTTTTCGATACCATTTAGACTTTCCGACTTATTTTGTTTCCTTCAATCTCTTTAGTGTTGAATATCAAGATCAGACCTCATGTCTGGTTGATCATTTGAAGTCTTGCTTGACTGGTCTTTTTGCTGGTTTTGTTCCCGCCGTCACATCGTTGATAAAATTACTGTTATACCATTGTGGGGATCTTAAAGTGGATCCGGCGTTGATAGATCAGTTCCTGCTTAATCAAATCCAGTGCAAGGGTTCAGTTTTCGCGCAAACTGTGGAGTGTTGGAATGATTTTCGGGAGAGGTTTAACAGAGACAAGACAGATCCGAAGCTCTGCAGGTATAAAACTCACTTTTACCAGCTGATCTTGAACTTGAATTGTGGAGTTCTCTCAAAGCAGAGATTTATCGGTGATGGTCTGCTATCTCAGGCTTGAACTTTTAAATTATATATTACAACATGTATGTACTTCCTCTTAACACGGTCAGTTGAGAAAAACTGTTTGTGCTAGTTCAGAATGTTTTTATTTTTCTATTACTCAGTAATTCATCTCGGAATCCGATCTTTTTATTATCTTAAACAGTGGATTGTGTCCGTCTTGGAAAATCTTGCCGCAGTCAAATATTATACAAAAAAAAAAAATAAATAAAATAAACGTGTAGATGGGGAATAAAGCCTTTCACCTCCATAGAAGGCTTACCACCCGATAAAATGAGTTGCCATTTGCTTCCATTTGTATCTTCACAGCGACTACGCTGTTGCAAAGGAATGCGTGACAAGAGAGGCAAAGACTGGTTGTGCAATTGGACAGTACGTTAATAGGGACTTGTTTAACCCTTTCTGCACATACAACACAGATCCACCGTTGAACAGTTCTGGTAAGATAGGCATGATTTGCTTCACTTGAACACTATGCTTTAACAGTCATCACAGTGACTACGTGGGTAGCGACTCATCATCTTCACTTTCAGTTTTGGCCAGGAATCCACTGGCCAAAAAGCTGATCAACACGGTATAAGCAATATCGATGGCTTGAGTTAATTTAAAACTTTATCTTTAGCTAATCTGGAAATTTTGCTCATTTTGTGGTCCATATCCTTTCTATTTTTGTGTAATATTCGCATCAACTATGTGGTATTGCTTTATTAAACATTATTTTTTTACCACTTGCAGAACCATCAATCTATATTGGAAGTTGCACCACCCAGACGTTCGCTACGTCGGCATATTCATGTCAACGCAAGATGATTACAAACCTGGCGAAGAAAAATAGCCCGACTTGCCGGTAACCCACATACCTTGATAAAAAAAAAAGGGCAAAAATGATATGTTGTATTAATTTGTTCTGTTTCCGCTGTTCTATCTCAATAATGATAATAATAATGATAATAATAATGATAATAATAATGATAATTATAATATTATTAATAATAATAATTTAAAGAAAACACCGCCTTCAATCAGTTTTGCTACCTGGGGCAAACTAGGATGGTCACTTCAATACCCATTTCTTAGAAATGAGTTTTATAAAGGTGGCTCCCACTTGAGGGGAATATTTTGGTAGCGTTTACAGTAATTGTAAAATGCAGTTTGTGTCATATATAGAAATGTTCAGGACCGTTTAGAGAAGCTTTTTGGAATATTCTCCTCTCAAAATTGATTTCTCCTTTCTGTATACAGGCAGGAGTATAATCACCTAAAGCTTTGTTTGTCGGCGACTACGGATAGTTGTTTAACAAATACAGCGCTCTCTCCATTCAAAGACGAAGTTCAACGACTTTTACGAACACTTTTATATCACTGTGGAGATCTCAGAGGGAATGAGCTATCTATAAGCCCGATTGATCTTAAACAATGAAGACAGGCAACTTTGTGTGTAAGTAAAATTTCTCGTTCTGTATAACTTACTAATGAACAATGAATCTATCTCCCCGACTGTAATCGTTTTTATGAATGCTCTAATGTTACGTCAACCAGTCTTGCTGAAAGAGGAGGGAGTGGGGGCGGGGAGGAGAAGCGATGACGGAGTTGAATTATTTGGGAGAAGGATAAAGTCCACACAGATTATTCTTCTGACAGCGTTTCACTTTAATAATTTTTATTAACGTTTTGATGACGGTAACTTTCGTTTTGATAGTATTTAGTTCAATTTCTACAGAGATTACGCTAGGTCTAAGCAATGTATCTCGATGGCTGTACAAAATGGTTGTGCCATTGGAGATCTCATGGAAGACGACCTTTACAACCCATTTTGCGTGGATGGCATCGATCCACTTGCCCTTCCATCTGCCTCAGGTGAGTTGGATTGGCTCAATGGGAAACTTTAAAATGCAAATTTTTTCCACCGCAAGGGTCCTGCATTCCGAACACCACTATTCTATTATCAGCTTGTTGGCATTCATCAGTGTCATTACTATTGCCATCATCATTGTCATTACTATTGCCATCATCATTATCATTACTATCATTTTTCATCATAAAAGTTGTCAAAAAAATATCAAAAATATTTATCATGGCCATCATGTAATTTAACATAATACTTGGCATTGATGTCTTGATTAATGCATGTTTTGCTTTCTTGCAGCTCTTATATCTGGACGGTTTACATTTGTGTGCGGAAATGATTTCTTTTACAGAAAGGGAATTGAATGTGAAGACCATTTCCTCGCAGCCATCTATTCCGCAGAAGGAGATACCAATTGTGGGTAAGCATTAAAAAGAAATAACTTCATAATTTTGATTTTAGATCATGTAATCGCGAGTCCCAGTTTGGTAGTTCAAATGTTTTTCTATCTACAAGGAATTAAAATGAAGTAAGTTCCTTTGCATTTTTCTGGGAATCAAAATCCCAGCCATAAAACTTTGAGCGTACAAAATATTTCTATAAATCACAACTTGAAATGTTTTGCGATTTTTTGGTGGTCTTGATTTTGGATAATCGAACCCAAGTTATTTTACAATTCCTTCGCCTTATTAGCTTTAAAGAAATAAATTACCTTTACTCGACTCGTACTGAAACATCCACTGATGGGTGGCAGTATCTCTAAAAAATATATACGGACGTTTTCAAATATCTGTGTGAAGTGGTGTACCTAGCAAGATGTACTTGACTCTATTGTCATTACATAATGTTTATCATTTCAGACGTCAATCTTAGTCATTCTTGCGCTGTTTAAAAGAGAATTTTGAACCTTGCATCGGACCATCTCCAAATTCCATTCTATTGGAATCGCTTAGCATCGTAGTTCTCCAAAGCTTACAAGGAACACAACTACTTTGTGACTCGTCTGTGTATCAAATTGCTTGGGATGATCTTCCACCTCTTCTACGAAAAGTAGCAACTTGTGACAATGATTATTCAGCTGTTGTCGCTGATTGTGGTAGAACGTTCCGTTCCAAGTTTATTCCCGTTCCCTCGGCCCTGTGTGAAGAATTCGAGAATGGAAAATCTTGCATCGATGAGGCAAGGCAAACACATTGCTCCTTTGATGTTCAAACCCTGCGAACTCTCAAGGGTAATATAAATCCATTCTGTGACAACAGAACTCGACCTTTATTTAGAGACGTCGGCAGTTGTCAAAGTATAAACCAGAAACTGGCTTTTGCCGTGCTTATTTTTAGTGTCATGAGCTGTGTTTCTTGCAGGTAGCTCTCCACATATACAGATAGCTCATATATGTTAGACCTGCAATAATCATTGACATCTGGTCTACCTTTTGGTGATGTAAATAGAGATGCATTCTTTTTGTATAGATATCGCTACCGTAAATACTGAGAGAAACAACTTTAAATAAAGAAGGAGCTCGAGGGATGATAATTTTCAGTTTTTTAAACAAATCTCATCTCAACTGCATCATTTCTTCTCAAATGCGTATGAATTTTGTTCACCTTCTGGTAAATAACAGGTCCTTCTTACCTTATAATCCCTGCGTTAAATGAATGAATTTAAAGAACTATAGATACATTCACGCCCGTTTTAGACCAGGTAACCGTTTTGGACTTCTACTTTTCTAAATCAGAGCCAAGCAAAGTTAACCACTAACTGCATCTATTACCTCAGCAGTCTTCCGGCCTTTGATTTTCATTGGGAAAACAAATGTTGAAGGAATCAAGATTGTTGCCCTGGGCATTTACTCGAAATATATTGATTCACAAAGCGATGAGATTTAAGACTCCTGAGGAAGATTAAGCAGAAAAATTCCCTGGTAATGTCGTTCCATTAATATCATATCGCAGAAAAGTACGTTATGTATGACAGCGGCAAGTGATTTACAAACTCTCAATGTCCTAGTTCAGGTTTTTGCCACCAAATATGACTTCGCAGTAAGCAACGATAAACGTCATCGTCACAGCATTGCACAACGTAAACTGTTGCGGTAAACTTAGCGAAAAACGCTTTCTTTGAATACGATTAGGAGTTCTATCACGATCTTATAGGGAATTTCGGCTATTAAATGACTGTGCAGTGTCTTCGCTTGTTTTCGGTCAGTTCATGGTTAAGTTAATTACTACAAATCAAAGTCCTTGTGTGATATCGTAAACGGAAGGGGTCTAGATCGAGATTTGCTCCTAAAATAGAAATAAGCATGCCAAATTTTACAAAACTTTTATACATGCCCGGGGAGTTGTTACGCTGTTTATTAAAAGATGAAAGCCAGCCAACTGTGTTTTAATCAATGAATCTTATTTGTTAATCCCCCCTACATGGAGTAACATTACCAATGTATTGTTTCATACTTTATTTAACTGATGATTTTAAAACATTCCATTTAGGGAGTGATCTAGAAAATACCTCAACTGCTTTTCTCAAGAGCGCTGGTTAAAAATTTATCATCTACCTTACCATTTCGAAGAAGTTTCGGTGAAGAAACTGTTAAAGGCAGAGTCAATGCTCTTAAGTTGGCGATAGACAGATAAAATTGTGTTTAAAACTTCCAAAATCAAGCAAGTATGCAAACTTTAACATTTCTTTATGGAGCGAAGGTGAGTTTTCTGTTTTCAAAGTGCGCGAATTGAAGTTTCGCCGGATTAAATAAAGAAAAATATGAAATAAGCTTTCGTTGGACTTTTCAAACTTTGATTTCATATTCAGCTACTCGTCAGATTAAGTTGTGCCTCAGGTAAATAACCACAATGACCTTCGGTATTTCATTTTTAGGAAGTGGCTCTTTTCATTTCCCTCAGATCAATGATAATGATCATGAATGCTGCCATCAATAACGCAGGTTTGTCTACGATTTCTTGTAAATGCGCTATATCCATGAAACATACTTATCTCTTTTTCCTCCATGTTTTTGTTATTAATGTTGAAACTTATATTAAATCCCTAGAATAATCTTTACAGAAAGTACTATGCTAACTTTGGCTGTTTGTATTGGTATCTGGGGCTTCACTTCCACTTAGTGTTTGTTTAGTTTTCATACGCACCTTGTCTTAATTTGCATAGGATTACTTCAATTTTCCATGATCATTATTAAAACGACGAAAAGTTCGGCACTAATATTCGCACCTCCTTTGCGGACCAAATTTATTTTCAAAAAGTTTCCAAATTTTCAGTGAGTTCTCTTTTGATCGTCATATCTCCAAAATTATTTAACATGTTTTGATAATTCTTGTACTGGCTTACTTGTAATTAAATTTTAATTCTTAAAAACAAACATGTGATTTCAAAGAACGTCACTATGATGTCATAAGACTGGTAAATATTTAACCAGAAACAAAACCTTGACTAATTCTCCTATTTTGCCATAAAAATAAAGGAAAAGTGATAAGCTTGAAAAATTGATTTTATGGCCAATTCTTTTCTACAGCTCCTGACTATTCATTTGATACCAAATACACTAAGTATATACATATATAGAGAAATAAAAACTTCCGAACAGGGTCATCGTCTAAAAAAACTGAAAAAAGAGGTAAAGCAATACAAGAGGTGAAATTTTTTTTCTGTCATGTGTTTTTTAATCTATACTTTCAATTAACATTGAAATGATCAAATGCACAAAATCTCACTGATTGGAAGTATCCCTGTCCTTTTGTTAATTTTGCTGGTGATAAATTTGAAAGCATGGGGCAGCAAATAATCCCACATCACAATCAGGACAATAAAAATTAGTTTTCCTCTTTGTTATGTTGGTTGTGCATACTATGCACCTCCTTTCAAATCTCTTCCCACTTTCGTTGCAAGGAAGATAAGAAGGAAGATATCTTTCCACAAATCTGGCCTGAGGCTATTCAAGGGATGCTCTACCCCTCTTCTGACGAGCTGAAAAACTGCCAATCAGATCTTTCACCGAATATGATCGAAAGCTATTTAGTTCTTTCTTCCCATGGTTTGGCAATTCATTATGGAGAATAAGGCTATTTTAGATAGCCCTGTCTGTGAGGTCAAATGACAACCTCGTCCACCACATCTTCTAGAGATTGAAAGTTGTTAATATGACTTCATCTGATCATTTTTGTTGACCCGACCAATATACTTGTTGTACATCAATACTATGGGTGGGTATGTCACTGCCTGCAAGTTTCCATCCTTGGCCCTCCTTTGTACTTCTGAGAGATAAGCAGGAGAAGTATGTAGAATGGAGCCTTTCATTCTTCACAACACACTAACACGAGGCAAAATCTTTATTGTGTTCTTGTGGAATAGTACACAGGGAAATCCCTTTCCGTTTTGTCGGACAGTTCCACAACAAAGTGCTTTTTAACTGTACAGGTTTCCCATAAGTTTTCAAGAAGTAAAGAAATTGTAAAAAAAGACAATACCATTTGCTCGTCATGTTTTCCCAAAGACTCCACACAACAGTGTAGCCCAAGCCATGCTGAACTCTACCAGGCTGTCTACCTGTATAAACATCAAATGCACACAAATATCCGGTTATGCTGTCTGCTCGACACCATAACTTGATGCCTCTTTTGATGGGCTTCAATGACATGTATTGCTTCAAAGAAGTTATCCCTTTCTGTGTCACCATCGCCTTATCAACAGCGTGCTGCCAATGAGGTTTCTATTACATTGACCCAGCAGCTGACATTTTTTAGTTGCCATCTACATGCATGTTGTATAGCTAATCAAGAAATCGTGTTCGAGTCATTAGCTTTGTGAACGCAGGCATGCCAAGAATCCAATCTTCACTCCTCAAATCTTTCAATGAAGGTAGAGGGTGGAAACTCATTGCAGTAAGAAGCCCTAAGAATGCTTTTAATCCTGTCAAATCAACCAGTCTTCAAAGTGATGAGTCTTTCCCAGACTGTTTCAGCTGTTGTTTTGCATATTATTTTGTTTGTTTCACAACGATTTTGTTTAGCATCGTAATGCATTAGGACAGCGGTAGTTCGCAAATGTATCCGGGAACTTAAAGTATGTGCAAACTTAAGTCTATATTTTTAAGCCTTTTTGGGTGCATTTGCTTCACCACAATACAAGCATCCTGTCGTCCACTAGCAAGGAGAAAATGTCTTTTGCTGCAGCCTTAGGTGGAAGGATTTTAGTAGGGCCAACATGACTTCTCGAAATTCAGGAATATCGAACTAACTCCTCTGATCACTCCGCTCAAACGTGCTAGAACGCCAAGCTCTCTTGCTTCTACAGCAGAATCTCCGTTGTTTTCATCAGAGTCATCGTATTTATCTTCACTGTTGTATTTAGGAAACCGTGGCATATCGTCTTCATCCTCTTCCATTGGAATTGACTCTACCACGTCAGAAAGATCGTCTTCGAAGTCTTGGATGTCCGATCTGGCTCCATCACAAGGAATATCAAAGATTCCCTCGAAATCGTCAATCACATTTTGAGTAGTTTACATTATTCTCCCTCGTGACATGTTGTAAAAATATCACTGAAGATCAAAACCGAAGAAATATTGGCAATATTTGGTAATAATGAAAAAATCACGAAAATGCTCGCAAAAAGCTACAGGCGTTGTAAACAAAAAATAACCGTAGAGGCCTGGTAACCTTTTTTTACGATAGCCGCTGAGAGAACAACTGCAGTCACATAAGGTATACGATATATCGGACATTGGTCCACAAAGGGTTAAAAACCTGGCGGTTTGAGGAAGGTAGAGAGAACTCGGAAAAAAATAAAACGATGACGACAAACAAAGACCAAATTCTCAGCGAAAGATTTTAATAATAATAGTAGCGGTAATAAAAATGATAAAAGCACCAGTGATAGTAATAGTAATAATGATACTAATGTTAATAACAATGACAATATCGATTATGATAATGATGATAAACTCAAAACGACAAAATTAATGACGATGATGATAACAATAATGATAATATTAATAATAACGATGACAATACTAATAATACTACTACCACAGATGATAATAATGACAATAATATCGAGAAAAACAATAACAAAAACGACGGCATTAGCTTAAATATTATTTGCAAATTGATTAAGGCTAGGCTTAAAAATTAGCAAACTTCCGCACTCCATATCTGCGCAGGACTCTTTTTGCATTTGTGAAAATGGCTCAACTAGTCCTCGAGATCTCTAAAGCTGAGTTGTTAGGTATACACATATAAGACGGCTAAATCGGAACAGATCTAACTTGGAATCTGTTTCTTTTCTTACTCTAGAGTCATATTCTGAAACTGTCTTTTAAAAGAAGCTCTAGCTGAACTGTGTCATTTTAAATTACTTTTCCTCAGATTCGGATGATGTCCCAGATGAATGCACATCGTACAACGTTTTCAATGAGCCGGGCAGATATTGGAGCAGTACTGGACATTCTTTGACATGCGATGATAATCTTGCAAGTGATCATGACGGCTGGTACCGCTTCGAGGGTGCCGCTGGAACAATGATGGCTACTCATTGTATTCCAAAAGAAAGTTGCAACAGCCACATGGCGGGCTGGATCGGTGGTGGCGATCACCCCTCTTCAGCTTATCAGAAGGTGACGAGAACAGCATATATGCATTATGGCTCAAGTTGTTATTCAGTGGCCTACTCCGAGACAGAAATACGTAACTGTAGTGGATTCTACGTTTACAAACTGCAATCAGTTAACAGCTGTTACCAACGTTATTGTGGTGTTAATGGTAAGTGTCACATCAAGAACATCAGGTTTTTTTTTTCTAAAGAGCGCATTCCATTGAGCAGCTTTTCTGCCAATATTTTTCACGGGGCTTGTCTCATTGCTGGAGGTTTTACGCTACTTTCTCGGCCACCCCCTTTTCAATGGTGTTACATACGCTTTGGAGCGGGGCGGAAGGGGTAGGGAAAAATAACGAACAAAGTTCGAGAAAGAAAAATGGTTCCACGTTGGACGTTGTACCATCTATGCCAAAAAAAGATTTGAGATTCCACTTTCGCGGGCAGAATAGATATCAGGTGATGTTGCATTGATCCAAATATCTTTTATTAATTGCAAAACTGGGAAATTAAACGTCTTCTAATTAAAAAGGTTACATCGACGCAAGAGGTACGGACTCAAAGATCCAGGTTTTTCTTTATAAAGACAATGTTTCACTTTATGAAGTTTCAATTGGGTCTTCCGCAATTTGATGAATTAAGATCACCCAGGCAAACAAAAGTGCGAAGCATTGACAACCTTGATGGCACAAGCTTTTTTGTAGAATTTTTTCTAATATTAACATATGACTATCAATATTAAAAGAAAATCCGGACATATTTTGTTTTGGTAAGAGTTGAAAGAATCTTGATCAGTGCTGATTTGGTATGAAAAAATGAAGTACTTCTAATGCTTGTGGGTACACATGGGCGCTTTAGTATCTAGTTTACTCATGATTAGTTGGGCATTAAGCCATTAAGTAATTTCTTGGTCAGAATGATTTCGTATTCAACAGATGAGAACGATGCATGTCATGCCAATTCTGGCTCAACGGCATGTACCTGTCCATCTGGTTATTCTGGCACTCCTTGTCAAGGTATGTGAGCTGTAAAATTAATTGATGGTGGTCACTTACACTCCTTCTTAGAACCTTAGTGTAGAGCCTTATCGTTCAGAAAAAAATAGAAAAGGTGTTTTTTTTCCCTCTCATTTGCTAGTTTGTTTGTTGCTTTCGTACTTAGTGCAAATTTAAGTAAAGCTTCTTATTTTAGATTTTAAGTCAATCCTACTGAAATGAGAAAGTTTGATCTTTAAGGACCATAAAGGTCAAGAGGCGATGGCCATTGTGATTGATTTCTTCCCCGAATAAGGTTGTGTTCGATACCGATTATATCCCTATTTTTTCCAACCTGTGGATTATATAGTTTAAAAGATAATTGAATTTCCACCGTTAAGGATTCACATAATTTCCCCACCAGTTCTTTTAACTACTCACTTTGGCCACGTCATGGTAAGGACAAACTTTAAATTGGTTGGTTGTATTTTCCTTGTCATTAGATACCGATGAATGTACCTCAGGAGGCCATAATTGTCACTCACAAGCCACATGTTCCAATACTCCTGGCACATTTACATGCTCTTGTAAAGCTGGTTTTACTGGCGACGGTGTATCTTGTAGCGGTTAGTTGTTTGGGCACCTCTTACATCTTTTAAGGTTCTTTAGAGAATCAAGCTTAAAATGGTAGTGAGGTCTCCCCACATGCATATTCATCATCAATTCATATTTGGACAGGAAATAAGTGAAAATTAAAAGCTTGAAAAAGGTGATGGCAATCACTGGTGTTACAGATACAGCAATATGTCGAGAAATCCAAGAATTTTGGTAAATTAAACTGATTAAGTGAACTGTACTGTGCAAGATGTTGAAAAAAAAGAAACTAGGAGATATCGTGAAAAAAAATGACGAGGGGAAAGAAGAGATTCTATATATTATCGGCTTCCGCTGTGATGTTATCTTTCAGAGGATTGTGGTATGTCCGAAGGTGAAAATGAACTGCTTTCATATGGGAGATCAGGGATTGATTGCCTGTAGGCAAAAGCGAGTTCTTCGGCCGGTACATGGGAAAGATTGTTCGAAAATTGTTAATAATACTCAACCAAAACGAACGGGTGGAACTTAAAAACCCCATTCATAGCAGGACTACATTACGATTGGTTCTTTGCTTATTTGCTGAGTCACTCAGAACTGTCAATTCGAGCCTAAATAACAACTGATAGCTAATAAATGGTCCACTTATGCTTGAGAGTGAAAAAATAGTTTTGGGGTACGTTATTATTCCACTCTATTCATCAAATATCTTCTTTTAATGCAGAGTGAGTGGTAGGCTGTAAACTGTTTATTAAAGACATCATCATTCTATCGAATAGATATTGATAAGAGTGAGGTTTTAGCGATATAAACTTACGTAACCCTTGCTCTCATAATCTAAGATATCGACGAATGCACTAATGGTGCCCATGACTGTCACCAAGATGCTGATTGTGGAAACACAGAGGGTGCATTTACTTGTAGTTGTAAACATGGATTCGCAGGAGATGGACGTCAATGCACAGGTGATAAATTCATACCTTCTATTCTCTCTCCCAATATAGGGCACATGCATATCTTTTGATCTTTAATGACTGAAAGGGGGAAAAAAAAAACCAAATCAGCAATTTCTCCAGTTGGAGGCCGTTGGCAATAGTGTATTTTGCAGTTACTTAAAAGTTTTGAAAACGTTAAAAGGTCGATAGATAACCTCTTAGTAGCAAATCTTGATTCTAGATCCCAAAAATCTCTGAAAATGTTAATTCTTTCCTTCGATTGCCACACAGAAAGTCAGAGTTTCACAAGTGTTATATTTTGTGTGCATGGGCTGATTATATCTCCTTGGCGGTAGATGTTGATGAATGCACAGATGCCTCGCATAACTGTCATGCGAAAGCGGATTGTTCTAACACTCAAGGATCTTTCGGCTGTGCTTGCATTCAAGGATATTCAGGAAATGGTGTTACATGTACAGGTATGATAGCTCTTGAAAATTGTTCTTTAACTGTTCCATTCATGCGCTACTAGTTTCTATTTGCCTGTAACGCGGTATATTGACTTTTTTCCTCAATTAATCTGAACCTTAAGCAAACTACACTGGCGACGTCAACAAGGAAATGGGAAACAATCAAATTAATTGGGTGGAACAATGGGTCACCTCGTGCTTTTACAACTTTGTAAACTTGTTAGCCGTTCTTTGAAAAACAACACCGTGAAATCAACCAAATTTTCGAAGGGAAACCCCCGACCAAAAGTTATCTCAGTTTCCACTTGAGAATCAATGTTGCTCTTACTTGTTTTGGTGAAGTTGAAGAGTGCCGCCTTACGAGACACATAATTCTAACAAAGCATATACATTTATTTTTCAATCGTCTTACTCGGTATTGCTGTCCAGATTGCTTAAGATACCCATTGATTAGGGGGAAACATGTGCCTACTGATCGCTTTATGTGTCCCGCTTTCCTCTCTCCAACCCGGAAACATTAAAATCACTGGAATATGTCTCTTTATAATTTCAGATATCGATGAATGCACCAGCAGCATTGATGACTGCCACAAAGACGCAGAATGTTCCAACACCGATGGTGCGTTTACTTGTAGTTGCAAAGGAGGATTTTCAGGAGATGGTCGACAGTGCGCAGGTGCGGTATCCTCGTATTTTCTTTCCATTTTCATCATCTTTTCTTTTCGTATTTTTCTTTTTTTAATCACTATCGTAGTAAACATTGTAGCAACAATATCATCGTTATAGTCTCGCTATGCGCTAGACAGTGCACAGGTGTGAAGTCCTTAGATTTTATATCTATTTTTGTACTTGTTTTTTATTACACTTTTCCTTTTTATCATTTTCGTTTTAAGACACTGTAACAGCATTATCATCGCGTAAATTTCGCCCAGCCCCAACTGATATTAAATACGTGGATACCACCCCGATTTACATTGTATTTGGCGTATAGACGGGAAAAAAATCAGCAAAAACGAAATAAAACAAAACAGGACCACATTTTATTTGATAGGTATACTTAATTATACTTTATCCATGTTAGCTAAAAATTCCCAAATAACCAAATATACTAAGCAGGCATTGCAGGTACCGTTTCTCTTTTGAATGTCAAATTTTGTGTAACGAGGTAATGCTGTGTCTGATTGCTTCAGATATTGATGAATGCACAGATGCAACTCACAACTGCCATTCAAATGCGGATTGTTCTAACACTTATGGCGGGTTCAACTGTACTTGTTTTCAAGGATATTCAGGAGATGGTGTTACATGTACTGGTATGAAAGTTCTTATAAATATTCTCAATCTACAGCCATACAGCCATACACAGTGTACCTTAATATTTTTGATCGAGATCTCTGGATACTGAAAGTTTTTGCGGTCTAGAAGCTGCAGTTAATGCCTACAATTATCGAATGATCACCAGATCAAGCGGAATAGTAAGCTATATGAAAGAAACAACATAAAACAAACAAACAAAATACGAGGAGCGAAGAAAAACAAACATGAAAAAAAATTTACCGTTTCCATTGGCATAACTTATAAGCAAGTTTTCCTTTTACCTTGCCCACGATACTGTATGGTTTGTTGTTATGAATTAGAACTTTGAACTAAACGATACAATCTCACAGATATTGATGAGTGTGCCACAGCAACTCACAACTGTCATGGTGTTGCTCACTGTTACAATAATGATGGATCATTCACCTGTGAGTGTAGGACTGATTACCAAGGAGACGGTATTTCTTGTGAGCCCTTTGGTAAGTGAGCTAGTTCTTCGTTTGATCACCATAAACTACAATTGATAATAACCCCCCACAAAAACTTATGATATATATATAATATATACTTTAGTTCATGCTACACAGTTTATCTCTTTTTCTCCTGATTGATTAATAAGAATACGTTTAAACCGTCCATTGGATCTTGTTTTACAGGAGATTTCTCTGTAACGATTAGAAATATATCCAAGGACAAATATTTGGCAACTACTGTCAAGCGGTCTGAAAAAAGTATCCATCAGGCAATCATCGAAGATCTTCCAGATAAACCTGTGTTGGAAAGTGTCATGGAATGGCGTTTAATTAGTGAACAGGAGCTGGCAGCTTCTGAATCACCAGTGGGAACTTTAGTTAGTCAAGGAACTGCACAGTGGACCATAAATAGGCGATCCGTACCTTCTGGAAACTATCAAGTAAAATTTACTGCTTCCATTAAATTCGGTGATTCAGTATCCTCAGAAACTCTCAAGGCTTTTGATTACGGCTTTATCAAAGTTATTGCAGCTCCTTTGCGAGCAATAATCGATGGAGGAAGTAGCGTTCTTTGGGGTTCTAAAGACACTGTTACAGTGAATGGATCCCTTAGCTATGATGGAGATATTGGTCCTGGAAACTACAGTGGGCTGAAATTTACCTGGTCCTGTTATCTTCTTGGAGCTAATACTTCCTTCAGCGACAATTGCTTTGGTTCTTTCAAGGGAGACGTAACTCTAACATCCATAGGCATTATCCCTGGTGGGCTTGATATTGGAAAAAAATTCGTTCTCAGACTAACAGTGTCCAAGGATGATCGAAGTCATTTTGCAGAAATTATTTTTGAGATAGCAACTGGTGAGATACCTCAAGTTAGCTTAAGGTACTTTAAAAGGATTGTTTTATTCAATTTTTCCTCTCTTTCAGTCATCCTCTATACACAATCATTCTGTTTTGTTGAAACATTACAAAGTTGTGATTGCAGTAGCTTTGTTCTACCTTCAACCAATCACACGCAAAGCTGAGGCTTTTCTAGACTTGGCCTCAAGTAATGTTGAGTGCGTCAGGAATGTGACCCGTCTTTCATATCGTTGTTGTTGTTATTATTGTTGTCTTTTCCTCAGATCAATGCAAAATGAATTATAACAATCGATCTATTTAATTCTCTTATTTTCATGCAGGTGTTTTGTAGATTGTGGTAAAATAGTCTCTGCTTCGAATAAGTTTCGAGTAACATCAGAGTGTCTCAATTCCCCCTGTATTGGTTCAGAGTATCTATGGCAATTAATGAGATTCAATGATGATTCAAATCAACTGGAACTCATAAATATTCTAACCAATATGACATCGACTGCTATAAATGCAACCAACATGATTATCAAAAAGAATTCCTTGCAGTCAAGCTCGAAATACACTCTGAACTTAACTGTGATACCCCCTGGTGGAACAGCTGGATTTGCAGTGCTCGAGTTTGAGACAGCTGGGCAGCCCCACAGTGGCTACTGCGTGCCATCAGCCGTTGTAGGTTTCTCTTTGGAAACAAAATTTTCATTTGAATGCTTTGAATGGCAAGATAAAAGTACACCACTATCTTACGAATTTCGTGTTGGGGACGAGCCAATATCCTATGGCACCTCTGCAAAATCTGTTTCGACAGTCTTGCCCTCTGGCTTACCGGAAAACGATTATCAGCTGTCAATCAACATTATTATCAAGAATGCTGTTGGTGTGGCCCTTGTGGAGAAGCTCTCTATGAAGGTAATGATAAAAACTGTATGCCTCTGACGGTTTCTCTAAAAGGACTCTGGAATCTATCCAGTGTCACATGAGCACAACTATGATTGATGCGTAGAGTTGAATAGCGTAGAAAGTCCTGAGGGATTGTTGCACCCTCCGCACCCAAGTATTAAGAAAACACAGACGTAGTCGGCTAAAACGGGAAAATTTTCACCACTCCGAAATTAAAGAAGGAAAAGAAGAATCGAAGCAAAACAATCAAGAAACGAGTAGTTTGCTGATTTAATAATTTTAGTGACCACTTTTGTTTCAAGTACAAGTGAATTTGAGCAAAATGAGATTGCTTTAGTAGTCGAAAGGCGCAAAATACTTTTATAAAAAGTAAACTTTCGTCCGCTACCTATTAAAGCTTTCAAACATTTGTTCTGTTTTTACAAGGTGGTGCCATCGTCCCAACTTGATCCTTGCCGTTCATCGGTAGAAGAAGTGTCTAACAAATTGAAAGGTTTCGTCATTGGGGACGACAGCGACTTGGATAAATTTCTAAAGAAGGGTGAAATTAGTCAAGCCTCTCAACTTGCTATCACTGTTCTCAAATCAGCCAGCGAAGTAACGGAGTGTGGGCAGACGCTCAGCAAAGATACCAAAACACTAGTGGGTCCACTTACTGTAATGTTTTTTTTTATAAGCAGTGGAGAGCTGTGTGTTTGTTTGTTTGTTTGTTTGTTTGCTTGATCATTTGTTTGCTTCGTACGCCATCCACAAGAGATTATCTCATAAATGTATGTAAAAATTCGTTGTTGTATACCTGATATTAATCTGAGGTAACAATTTCAAAATTTTTTACTCCCTGTAAGCTTTTTTTAGCTCCCAAAAACTTTAGATATTTCATTTACTGGCGTAGATTTCAAGTACGTTAGTGGAAAAGTTCACCTCCATAAAGCCGGAGGACCTTCAGATGTCCCGAACTGTTATGGGTGTAGTCAAACTAGCAGGTGGTAACCAAGACGCTCAATCTTGCAATGACTGTGGAAATTCTGCGGTAAGAATCTAGCTTTCTCTTCTCTTACACAAGAACAGCAAAGTATCACAAAATACATGTACATTGTTTTGATCGTAATCAAATGCCTTTCTTTAGAATGAAACTATGAAACTAACGGATGCCACAACAGAACTACTTAAGTCTGTCCTTGGTGACTTAGAGGAGCCATTTTCTGATGAACTGGAAGAATCGGCTGTCAGTATCACCACGTGTCTAAAAAACGTTCTAAAGTCTTCTCCTGAATCAAGCAAAGAAAGTGGAGATTTGACAAAGAGCACTGAATCTGAGAAGGTATGACAAAATTTGATTCACGAAATTAAGTAAACGAGAGTAACTCATATTATGTTATCCTGTACATATCAAGGAGTTTCACTGAAACGACATCTTGTGTAATTTAACTGCTCCAATTGTTTGCACGGAGATGAGGGTGTTTCTATCAAGATGAAATTTTCTGACCAAATTAAAATATGTGAGCACTAAAAATTAGCTACCACAGACAGTATCAAACAAATAACGCTTGCAAATTCCTAGTCAAGAAATTGATTATCGCTCGGAAATTGCATTTAGTAGAAAATTTTAACAGAAACTCTTTTTTACCACAGGAGAGTGTGAAGCAAGCTGCTGAAAAACTGGACGCTATGAACGACGCATTTTTCGCACGCCTGGTTCCCTCTGAAAATCTTGTCCTAAAAACGCCTGGCTTGACATCGACCCTTAAGAAGGTATCTGCTGACGGTATAAAGGGTCTTAATATGGAAGATGGACCAACAAAATTTAGACTACCAGGAAACCTAGGGAATATGGCTGATGGAAACATCAATGCAAAGGTATGGAGTTTTAAAGCGTAGATATACAACAAACCTGGCATTTTCAAAATTGAATGTCATTAGCAACTATCTGTCAACGCTTTTGACGTTTAGCGTTGCATCAAAAGTTTGAACCTTTTATTTGAAATTACTCTCCTTACGTCACTTATTGCTACGAAATTGTATTCGATCCAATTGCTTTGATGACTAAGCGTTCCGAAACAATTTTTTTTGTTTCTCAGTTGCAATGATGGCTTACACATTCTTTACTGCAGTATTGTAGAAAAGTCATACACACAAACTTCGAAATGTTTCTCCAAATATATTTTATTTTCAAAGAATACGTGCTGGGTATATCACAGCAGGACACTGATTCTCAAAGTATGAAACTAGAGGCTTGATCAACTGAATTGGCCACCTCAGATAGTTTCTAAACCTGACTTTTCGAGCGTCAGCCCTTCGTAAGAGCGAATAGTCTCGTTAGTAAATTACGCCTTTTAGTTGAAAAAGTATATCCTCTGTGTTCTGTTTTTGCAGATGAAAAGTGCTGACTTTAATCCCTTCTCTTGGGACAATAGCAGCAAGAAAGTTCAGTCCAGTGTCATTAGCCTCGAGCTTCAAACGGAAAATGCAACAAAACTGAATGTTTCAAACCTCGATAATTACATTGAGATAGTTATACCTATTTCCACCCCACCTTCAAATACCAGCAACGGATCAGAGCATTATTTTCTAAAGCCAAACCAATTGACTATGAGGAGCTATTACGCCGACCTAGCAGATGTACTGTTTCCATCAGCCTGGGTGTGGCAAAAGAGGAAACATTAGTTAAAATGTTTGTGAAATTTGGGTCAAGACCTACCACAGACGACTCTGACCTCAACTTTACGCTAAAGCTCACGTCAAAGTGCGGAAATGTGACAAAGAGCGCGGCCAACGAAACTTCGTGCATTCCAGAAGAGAGAGTTGTTACCATACTTCCTATCGAACCAAGTCACATTTATATAGGTTTATTATATGAAGAATCGAAAAATGTAAGCGAGCATTCCAGAGAGACACGGTCATGCTTTGGCCATAGTCGCCAGAGACGATCATGCGTTGGCGTTAAAGATCCACCTCAAAAGGGATCCTTCAGACGATTGTACCTCAATATAACCCACAAACTGATGTCAACTATACGTTTACTATAACCCAATCAAGTTGTTTGTATTGGTCTGAAGATGAGGAAAAGTGGACATCCGATGGTTGCAAAGTAAGTTTCAATAAAATCATGATTTCAAAAAAAATTCTTAGAAAACAGGATAACCAGCCACATTACCCTACAAGGTGAGCTAAATCCTAGAACGAAATCTATCGACATATACTGATGGCAGGTGTTTTTTATATTTCCATGGCAGGTCGACGTGGGCTCTAACACCACACATCTCAAATGCCTCTGCAATCATCTGACGTCTTTCGGCGGAAACTTCATTCAAGCTCCCAATCCCATTGACTTCGACAAAGTTTTCACGGAGTTTGCTCGACTTAGCGAGTCGGGCAACATTTCAGTGCTCGTGACAATTGCATGTGCATTCCTTATTTACTTTGTAGCTCTTATATTTGCAAGGAGGGCTGACAAAAGAGATGAAAGCAAGGTATGAATTTAAGTATTGCATGTAATATTTACGTACAAATCATCCCGCAGTAGTAATACGGTTAAGAGCTTACGATGAGAAATATGACCTTTTCCAATTTTTACTCTATACCAAAGTGTAGCTTTCTTCTTTATTGTCTCTTACATCCAAAGAAATGAAAGAATGTGTCTAGCAATGTGAAATCAAATTAAAACAGTCTTTTTAAGTTAAGTAGGTGTTTTCGCTGGACATTTCAATTATTTAGCGGGGAAATAATCGAAAGTTCGGTCTCCCATCATCAGCTCAATGACGTTACTCTTTGTGTGGCACCACTACCATGTTAACAAAGTAAACTATGTTATGTTTACTTGTTTTTGCAGATTTTCTCACCGCTACAGATAAATCTTGTTGAAGAAGGAACATACTACTACGACATGGTTATCAGCACTGGCGTCTGGAATGATTCAGCAACAACGGCAAACGTAACGATGAGCATTAAAGGAGACAACGATGAACATGATCTCATTACTCTTCAAAAACATGGTGATTTACAGGAAGTTTTTGGTCGAGGAAGTATAAACGGTTTTGTTCCGGTTACAAACGAGTCATTAGGAAATCTAAACGAAATAACTTTGGAACAAGATAATTCAGGCGAAAATCCATCTTGGTTTGTAGAAACAGTGGTAATCAGGGACAGACAAACAGAAGAACGCTGGGTGTTCCCCATAAATAGATGGCTTGCACTTGAAAAAGACGATGGGCAGATAGAAATTAGTGTAAAAAGCAAAGCAGCTACATCCTTTTCGGCGGAGGTGAGATCGCGTTTTGGGAGAAAGATAGCTGACAGCCATTTGTGGATGTCGGTCTTCAGTAAAGCGTGCAGTAGTACATTCACGCGCGTGCAAAGAGCGTCGTGTTGTCTTTCAATTCTCTTCAGTGCAATGATAGCCAATGCCATGTTCTATAATATTGGCGGGGAGTCAGCGGGAGCAATACAAATTGGACCTTTCAAGTTTTCCTGGAGACAAATAGTCGTTGGAGTACAGAGTGCTATAATAGTTGCACCTGTAAACGTTCTGATTGTGTTTCTGTTTAAGTCTAGTAGAACAAAGGAGAAGAAAGAAGACAAATATAAAGATTCCTTTCAAGCACAACAGCTCGTCGATGAAGTAAATGGTCAAGGCTGTATGCTACCACATTTCTGTGTATACATCGCTTGGTTTCTCTGCTTTGTCACCACTATGACAGCAGCAACATTTACGTTATTTTATAGTTTAATGTGGGGTAAGGAAGTCGCTGAGCAGTGGCTGGCCTCCATTCTTATTTCCAATGGACAAGACGTTTTTGTTATGCAACCAACAAAGGTCATATTAGCAGTTATTTTAGTTTCCTTTCTTATGACTAGAAACAAACAGGATGATGTGGAAGAGGGAGATGTAAAAGATGGTGAACTTCATGACGATAACGTGGATTTTTTAAGTGATAATCCTAAACAACGCTTTAAACAGAGCCTCATGGAGAAAATGCGCATACGAAGCAGAAAAGAGGCTCAGTTAGCAAGTAAAGCGAGGGAAATTGTCTTCCATTTATTATTTGTGTTTCTGCTGTCTGTAGTCTGTTATGGCAACAAGAATGAGAATCGTTTCTTGATGACAACAGAGATGAAAAATATTTTCGCAAGCTTTGATCAGGTATGAAACACTTTGTTTTTATATCTTTTAAAATTGAAAATCGATAACATTAAGGATAACAGTGATAGTGATAATAATGATAGAAATAACGATAACGATGATTAGTAATGGCAACTGAACTGAGTGGATTCCAATTCGGTTTGTAATCAAGGAGTGATTTATTGCTTACCAGTATTAATACTGAGTGAAATGGGCGATATAAAATTTTGTTAGCAGAATTCAAACTATGACTAACTTTGAGAGAAAAACTCGGCATCTATGATTGCTTTTCAAAAAAAAAATGAACAAACAAACAGACAAGCAAACAATTTTTTTCTGACGAAATGCGCGACAACGGCGTGCACATATGACGAGTCCTATCTAATTACACAGGCAAGGCGCGCACACTGGTAAAAAAAAAAAACTGTGCAATTAAAAGCATGGCACTTGCATTGTCCTAATTAATACCCAGACCGGGATGATGAGAATCAATCACGTTTGATAATTCTGTTACAAATAGACTTGATTACAATGATCATGATGAGATTTATTTCATAATGAGTTAGAGTGGTGTAGTGAAGTAGGGAATGGTGTAGTCGCAGTGTATTTGGAACGGGTTTTTGAGAGACTTGATCAGACAAGGCTAATGAAGCCTGCTAATGATGATCTTAGTTCCCTCCTTCTACAGTTCTTATCATTTTCATTCATCTTTTTATTAAAAAGAGGCCTCGTCATAGGCGAAACGAAGTAAAGGCGGCAGTACTAAATGCAGTGTAGAAGTTTGGTTATGTTAAGTTTCTGAATAACATATAAATCACTCCCTTTTACTTAACTTAACTTAACCCAATACAAGTCAATATTTAGTTCCTCAATCTAATTATGTGAACTTACTTTTGTGTTCCGTGTTAAGGTGACTGATTCGCGAAGACTGTCGAGATGGCTGGCAGAGAAGTTTCTACCAAACGTATACCACCAGGACTGGTATAATGGCCTCGAAGAACCAAATGATGTTTACATCGCCAATAAGATGTCCATACTGATTGGCATGCCTTGGATGCGACAGTTAAGAATTCTTAAAAGTACGTTTGATGATAATTACATTTGACGCAATTATAATACTATTTGTATACGATTAATTTTATTACGATTCGTTTCAAACTTCTGATTCCTTTTTTTTCGTGTCCTGAAGGTCATTGTAAGTCACTTCCTGCAACTATACCAGACTGCTACTACGATTATTCTCCAGAGATAGAGGACACAACAGAGCTGAGTCTTCCAGGCTGGCGGCCACTTCCCTTTAATACATCCTGGCCAAAGGCACTTCGAATTTGTCCAAAACCCTGGCGTTACCAGACAGCTGAAACGCTGGACACTGATCCTGTAAAAGCCGTGTACAACACTTATGGAGGAGGTGGTTACGTGGCCGTCTTGGGATATGATGAGCAAACAGCACGTGGCGTTTTAGATGAAACCATTGGCCATGGATGGCTTGATCGAAGTACTCGATCAGTAATTGTGGAGCTTGCGACGTTCAATATCAATACAAATTTAATTAGCATTGCTACGTTTATCTACGAAATGATTGCAGCTGGTGCAGCCTACACAGTTATGAGAGTGGACACCCTTGAGTTGTACAGCACAGAGTCGGGGGCTCTCATGTTTTATCTCATTTGCCAGTTTTTATTCTTGGCAATGGTGCTATTCTACCTCATCATGATGTTGTTTCACCTTTACCGACAACGGTTGGGTTTTTTCAAGTCTGTCTGGAATATGGTTGATTTCTTGATGATCATCTCTTCTACAACGTCTGTTGCGTGCTACATGATGAGATCAAAGAAAATCTTAAACAGCATCAATGCAATTCAAAAAAATCCTTTCGAAATAATTCATTTTCATTCTGCTTTAAATTGGGCCAGCTGGGAAAATGCTTCTCTTGCTCTCGCGATTTTTATGGTTACAGTGAAGCTCTTAAATCTTATTCGTTTTAATCCTTACGTCATATATTTGTTTTCATCTTTCCGCCAGTCTGCAGGCTACCAACTGTCCTATTTTGTTTTCTTTGTCATAGTATTCAACGCGTTTGTTATATCAGGAATGCAGCTTTTCGGAGGAGTAGTTTATCATTACTCTAGTTATCTGCATGCTGTCATTTCGCAATTTGAATTTCTGTTGGGTAAAGCAGTCCCAATTGCTGATCTTCGCAAAGACAAACCTTTTATCGGTCCAACTTTTGTTTTTTTTTTCATGTTAATGATGACGATATTTCTTATGAATATGTTGGTATCTGTCCTGAACGAATCCTACACTGACGCTAAGGATAACGCAGAAGGAAGTTCAGAAGAGCTGGAAATGGCGCGCTTCATTGGGGAACGTTTCATGGCCTTATTTCAAGAAGGAAAAAGGCGACCAGAATTTAAATTATTTTGTGACGAAACAACTTTTGTTAACATGTGTCGTTCGAGGCAGAACCGTTCTGTTTAAATTCTCAAAGTCTTCTTCAGTGCACGGAGGAACGGTTAGAAAAACTAGATAAAAGAATAAGCGCAGTCATGAGACGGACAGAGAACATCGATGGTGATGAACTAGATGAGGAGAAAGAGTTTCATTCTCTGCTCTTGTTATTGATTAATTCTCATTAGTATTAAGATACGTTCACCTTCATTTTGAGCCGATTTTAGAAGGAAACAACTTTGTGAGATCTCGATTCTACAAAGCTTCAATTCTTTAAGTTTGAAGTAGTGACAATAATTTTGTCAGTACGATCATCTCCACAACAGGAACCTAGAACAAGTTCGAGTTTATTGATTCTTCATAATAGGGTGCTTTTGGTTCCCGTACAGCTCTGGCTTATCCGGCTCACAATCGCAACGTTACTTATGGAATTCCCACATGATTTTTCAGGTTAGATATAGGAAATCTGAAACTGAGTAAAGCAGGTCCATGCTCGACGAACACAAGGCGTATAAGTAACAGAACACACAAAAAAAACCATCTCGTCATGGCGCGCATCCCCTCCAAGACCCACTTCCTGTAAGATATGAAAATTCATGCAAAACTTTCGTAATCGCAAGAATTTCCTGACTGTATATTCACCAATGAAACCTAAGTTTTACCGCATTGTCTTTTGTTAAATATCATGACGTCTTTTGATATTGTGTCAGCAAGCTATGTATTCAATGTTGAGGTTTTTTTAATCTATTTTAACTAAGCGTTTAAGGAGTCGATTGAGTCGAAATAATAATGAAAAAATAGCTGAATTAGGCAAGAGATGAAGGGAAATACATGCTTCTGATGGTAGACTTGTCCATTTATTTGTAGAATTAATTATCAGAAAAAGGTTTTGCTCTTATTAAGCCTAAAATCGACTATCGCCCTGGACCACGACCGCCTAAACCATTCTACGATAACTCGTAATGTTGACTGCAAAGGAGATTATAAGACTAATCAGCCAAAATTGGAGGTGAAGCAGGAAATTTAGACCCTAAACGTTTTTTCATTTGTTTTGCTTTGTTTTTCTGGTTAGCCTTTGACTTTAGATTATAACGAAGTACTTTTCTTTCTTTCCTTTTTTTCCTCTCTTTTTTTTGCTTCGTGGCATAAATGTTATCATATCAAGTAATTTAAGACTTAAATGTTAAAAGCTTATTGCAGAGGGGCAAGTTAAGAAATTAGCGCCTTCCTCTCAATAAGTTGGTACCATCGGTGAGTGAGGAGGTGGCCGATCTTCAAATTGAGAGTACTCTTTCGAGATGTTTCCAATCTGTATATCACGCGAGATACGCAGAAAATTTTTTGTTTCATCGGCCGATGTTGTCCTTTATTTTTTTTTTCTCTAAGTATATAGTTAGACATATAATAACTTATGTATCATTAAGTCCGATGATTTAAATGATTTTAAGATGACCATTTACTTTCAATTAATGTTACGTCATCAGTAATATGGTAACTAAATATTACGTAGTGATCGGTAGTATTGTAAATTAGGTAACTTAATTAGAGACACTGCGTAAGTATTTTATCGTAGATTGTATTAGTCTTATATATTCCGCTTTATAAATAGTTTACAATGGTAATAGGATCGAGTGGATTCGAAATCGGTCTGATTATTAAGTGATCATCATGAGTGATTAATTAAATCGAGCTATGAGTTCAAATGTGATTACAGATAGAATTGATCGATCTTATGAGTAGAATCGAACTGATGAGTTCGAGCATGATTTCAGATAGAATCGGACGACACGAATTATCATAATTAATTATAACCGTTACAATTTTAGAAAAAAAAACACAATATATTTAGGCCAAACATCTCCAGTAGAGTTCATGTTTAAAGTTAAAAATTCCCCCTTTTTTTTTAGAACAAGTATTTGCTGCAATGGTTATTGAGTTCAATTCTGTGATTAGTAGATTTAGCTGAGAAGACTTAGCGTGATTGGCTGTTTCAACTATCCGATCACAGGTGTCCGATTACAGCCAACAGTTCGATTACATTGTCCGATTACAATTGTACAGAATGATTAGCGAACAATAAAGCAGCTAAAGCACCATTCACATTTGAGGAAATTGTAATGGTTAGGATTAGTTTTATAATTGGTATTTCCCATATGCTAAAACCTCAAACACATTATTTGTTCAGGTAGGATGAGGTCTTGCCTATTGGTTTATTTCACTCTGAAGATCGTTTAGTGAGTAAACAGGTGCATTCATTAGGCGCACTGTACTACATGATCCAGATTACCTTACGGAAAGGAAAACAAAAAGTTTTATCTTGACTAATTTGCACCCCTAAAAGAAAACTAAAATTGAAGGCATAAGAAGTTAATTTATCTAATAATCTGTCAAATGTTTGAATATTAACATTTTATTTGAGCTCTGTCAACGTGATCCTTGTACCAGCTAACTTTTTCTCTGCCATGTTTTTAATGTTCTTTCATAAAGGCATATTGATAAAAGGTGTCAGAAAAAAGGCACAGAAGGAGAAGAACAAGAGAGGGAGCACGGCAAAGGGAGCGGGAAATGATGATATTCTTTTCATGGTGGCATGGATTCAGGGTGTGTAATGTTTCATGAAGCACCTTTGTAAAGAGCACCGACTCAATGAAACGATAGGATAAAGGATTTCGATAAGAAGAAGAATGGTTAGAGAAGTTTTTCAGGAGCCAAAGGATTAGATAGTTCAATTTTCGGAGAAGGGGAAAATAATAAAAAGAGACCAAACAAAAGCTACGGAGGCAAATGGGAAGAGATGTTTACAACCTTTGAAATATGTTAGAAGCTGCACTATTAGCATTTTGCAAGAAATTTATCCTAAGGAGAGTGAACTTCCACCGTGGATTTTTCCGCCATTTCCCGATCTATAACCCTCTACACCTTTCATATGTAGAGTATCACGAGGCTTTAGACAAGAAGGGCTACTATGAATACCAGTTTTCAAAGGAGTTGAATAGCCATTCCACAGATTGGAGTCTGCAATGTTGTATTTCTATCAAGGATTCATTCACCAGTTCAACCAGAGGAAACAGAACAATACAATTGGAGTATTTCAATAGAAATTAACTGATTTCATTTTAGGTAGTTTTTCCAATGATCATTAGGGCAACAAACTCTGTTTATCTTAATAGTGATGATAATTAAAAGAGAGAACAGATGTAATAATGTCTCAAAAAAAGATGCATTATGCAGAGATCACCTCATCTTAACTGTATATAATGATATTTAAACAGGAAGCTCTCTCACCCGTACGTGATCTACAGAGAGGTCCTAATCCAAAATTACATTAAATTGTTAAAAGTAAATAAAAATTGCAGATATTAAAAAAGTACAAAACTAAGCTATAGATTAAAAGATTTAAAAATTTTTTTCTTAAACTGACATAGTGCCAGAGTTCTTCAAGGCACTGTCCAAGGCATTCGAGTCTTTCAAGGCATGATAACAGGTTCTTTGTTTACCTCAGTTCCGTTTAACTGATGGAAGTCTAGGATGATCTTTGCAACGAGTGTTCTATCTATGTACATTGCTGTTTCTAGATAATTCCAATTTGTTAGATGTAGTTCCATTCACGCATTTATAAACATACAAGCAGCGATGGAAGTGCCTGCGTTGTTTTAAATTTAGCCAGCCGAGCTGATTGAGAGCATCGGTTGCAGAAGAGTACAATGGTTTATCTAGAACAAGTTTTGCCGCCTTATTTTGCAACACCTGCAGATTAAGGCGGCAAAACTTGGTCTAGTTAAATTAAAATTAATTTTATTTTTCCTCTTGTGAATATCTGATCTTTCCTACCTTATAATCCTCACGGTGAAGGAATGAATTTACAAAGGGACTGTAGATATATTCACGCCCGTTTTAGACTAGGTAACTGTTTTGGACATCTACTTTTCTGAAACAGAGCTAGACTATCTGTATCTAATAGTTCAACAGTCTTCCATTTAAAATGTTGAAGGAATTAGGAGTTCGAAAATAACCGCCGTTTTGTATAGTTTGCCTTGTCATTGCGACAAGAACGCTTTGAAGTTGCCATTATTACATTTTTTGCGGCTAGAAGCACGTCATATTGGACACGACGTCAGCTATGACGTAGCAATAGTCCAACTTTGTTCGACGCCTTGTCATTGTTGATCTCTTTAACCTTTGTGACAATAATTTTGAATAGTTAAACTACGGTGAACTGTCCTGATGCTTGAATCTCAAAATAAGTATTTAAATAACACAGATAAAGGCGTAAGCTTCCACAAGCTACCGGAAAGTGAAATGTTAAAGAAAATATGGCTAACAAAAATAATGCGCGAGGGTGGCTTGCCAACTCCTGAAAACCAAAACAACTACCAAAACAAAGACTTCAGGTTGTCCTTGTTGACCTTTGCTTCAAACTGAAAGCTATGTTAGCTTTTTTTATATTCAATAAAATTTAATCTTATCTATTCCTTTAATTAAAAAATATGTATATGTATTTCTTATTGGAAGTGAATAAATTGAAGCTCAAATGGTGATAGACCATGTGTGGTAAACTCTAAGTCGCCCCCTGTGATCAAAGCCGATTTTTAACCTGGTACGCTTTTCCCAAACATTGGATAGATATATCTTGTCTTTCCCAAATCTGTACTGCGTCCACTAAATAAACTATCTTTATCTCACCCATCGCAAACTCTAACGAGAAAAAACCAATCGCCATAGAACACATAGCCGGCAAATTACCGAGCAAACGCGGTAGCAACATGCAAACACAAATTATTCTTCGCTAAGCAGGCTCCTATATTCGATTGGACACAATAAAA